CACTGAGCGTCCAGAGCGCTGAGCATCCAGAACGCTAAGCATCCGGAATGCTGAGCATCCTTAACGCTGAGCGTCCAGAGCGCCGAGAATCCACAACGCTGAGTGTCCAGAGCGCCGAGCATTCGTAACACTGAGCGTCCAGAGCGCTGAGCATCCAGAACGCTAAGCATCCGGAATGCTGAGCATCCTTAACGCTGAGCGTCCAGAGCGCCGAGAATCCACAACGCTGAGTGTCCAGAGCGCCGAGCATTCGTAACACTGAGCGTCCAGAGCGCTGAGCATCCAGAACGCTAAGCATCCGGAATGCTGAGCATCCTTAACGCTGAGCGTCCAGAGCGCCGAGCATCCACAACGCTGAGTGTCCAGAGCGCCGAGCATTCGTAACACTGAGCGTCCAGAGCGCTGAGCATCCAGAACGCTAAGCATCCGGAATGCTGAGCATCCTTAAACGCTGAGCGTCCAGAGCGCCGAGTATTCATAACGCTGAGTGTCCAGGGCACCGAGCATCCACAACATTGAGCTCCAAGAGCACCGAGCATCCAGAACACTAAGTGTCCAGAGCACCGAGCATCCAGAACACTAAGTGTCCAGAGCACCGAGCATCCAGAACACTGAGCATCCAGAGCACTGAGCGTCCAGAGCGCTGAGCGTCCAGAACGCTGAGCGTCCAGAGTGCCGAGCATCCAGAACACTGAGCATCCAGAACACTGAGCGTCCAGAGCACTGAGCGTCCAGAGCGCTGAGCGTCCAGAACGCTGAGCGTCCAGAGTGCCGAGCATCCAGAACACTGAGCATCCAGAACACTGAGCATCCGGAGCACTGAGCATCCAGAACACTGAGCATCAAGAGCACTGAGCATCCAGAGCGCCAAGAATCCACAACGCCGAGCATCTAGAGCGCCAAGCATCCAGAACGCTGAGCGTCCAGAGTGCCGAGCATCCAGAACACTGAGCATCCAGAACACTGAGCATCCGGAGCACTGAGCATCCAGAACACTGAGCATCCGGAGCACTGAGCATCCAGAACACTGAGCATCAAGAGCACTGAGCATCCAGAGCGCCAAGAATCCACAACGCCGAGCATCTAGAGCGCCAAGCATCCAGAACGCTGAGCGTCCAGAGCACCGAGCATCCAGAACGCTGAGCTTCAAGGAACCTAGAGCGTCCAGAACGCTGAGCGTGCAGAGCACCGAGCATCCAGAACGCTGAGCATCCAGAGCACCGAGCATCAAGAACGCTGAGCGTGCAGAGCACCGAGCATCCAGAACGCTGAGCATCCAGAGCACCGAGCATCCAGAACGCTGAGCGTCCAGAGTACAGAGCATCCAGGAAGTATGTATTTTGTTCTGGGGCTCTTCTTTCTCTCTCCAACCTTTGCAGGGATTTAGAGGCTGGCAGACAGCCTCCTGTTGCTGCAGAGCGGAGGGGGAATAAACAGTTGATTAATGCTCAGCATACTCATGAAATCAGACACATTTTAGTGCATATTTAATGCAGTTTAATGACGACATTTATGAAGTTTGACGATAAATATGTGACGATTAATTCACAGCGGTGGTTTAGCCCAGAGTTTTTCAATCCTGGTCCTCAAGGCCCCCTGCCCTGCATGTTTTAGATGTTTCCCAGCTTTCACACACCTGTTATCAATTGATAGCAGATTATCAGGCTTTGCTGAACTGCAATCATCTGAATCAGGTGTGCTGAACCTCAGAAACATCCAAAACATGCAGAGCAGGGTGCCTTGAGGACCTGGGTTGAAAAACACTGGTTTAGCCTACCTGGTGTTCAATGAGAACCACTGCTATAACAGAGGACCTGATGATAACTTAAACAGTTAAAAACTGTGGAGGATAACAAGTGCCAAAATTAAATAAATGAATACAGCATTAAATAAGTAATTAAATGTGTCAATAATTAATTAAATGTGGAATTAAATAAATAAATGTATCATTCATTCATTAAAACAACGTCACTAATATAAAGTAACACAATTAAATAAATAAATACAGCGAAATATCCTCCATAAAAAACAACTACTTCAGTGAATTCTAAAACTACAGCCCAATGATTGCTGTGGCTGCCTGCCTTTTGATTGTCATTGATCAATTAAAGGGACAATGTGTTTGCTCTGCCTCCATCTAGTGGTGAACTAACTGAATTACAATCAGACTGGTGCATGTGAGACACCGCTCTTTCTGAATTGTGGCTGGTATAAAAATGTTGTTTTTTTTCAACGGTCAAAAATAATCTTGGAAATAATTAAATGTTGGAGTTTTGTCTGCTTTTATTGGTTACATGGAACTGTTACTAGTGTCACCAGTGGGTGGAATCCAGAATGTTCTCCATCATGGAGAACCAGGAACTGATCCATGAAGTTCTCCCAGTTCTGCTCTCATCCATAGATATCCATAATAAAGGCCATAAGCGTCGTTAGACCTATTTAAGGGTGGCTTCAGTCATCCTTTCTTTGGCATTAGCCACCCTATAATTATTTTGCGATTTTAAAAAAAATATTTTTTTTTTTCTGAATTTATTTTTTCCTCATATTTTCCCAAAACAAATGCAGTAAAGCACCGAATAAAAGCCATAAAGAAGACAAGTTAATCTGAACAATCATAGGCGTAACTTCCTTAAGGACTGGTGTGGACATGTCCCCACCAATCTTGACCGGTAGGGGGACATGTCCCCACCAATATTTTGTACACGTATTTTTCTTTCGGTGCTGTGTATATCTGATTAAAACCCCATTCATGCCGCTCCTCAGAAAGAAAATAAAAAAAGTTCTCCCCGCTGCTCACCGTCCACAAACCCCGACAAAAAACTCAGAAAAAAGAATCTGTTGCCTCTCGCTTTCTCCCCATAACACCTGTCGCTTCAGGGACAGAAGTGGACTCAATCAGACTTGCAGGTGAGAGGGACTTGTGGGAATATTAAGACCTAATTTTAGTCAGGAGAGACTTAAAGTAGTAAAAGAATAGAGAATAGTGTAAAAATAAGTTAATACCGTATTTAAAATATAACTGAACCGTTGGAAAAAAACTCAAACCACTCTTTTCCGGCCCTGTTATGTCAGCTACACTAGAGTCCTGCAACGGGTCGGGTACCCGCGAAAAATACATTAAAAAAAAAATAAACGGGTCGGGCGGATATTTTTTTAGTCCGGGCGGGTAGGTGGTGATTTTTTTTTATGCGTGTGTGTTGTTATGGACATCAGAAATGTTATATTAATCAGGCACTGGGTGCAGCGCAGCGTACAATAGCCTATGATGGGTTAACGGGTCGGGTTGCGGGTTAAATATCAACGGGTCGGATCGGGTTCGGATTTGAATTGAAGATATCCGCGGGTGACGGGTCGGGTTTGGTAGTCATCCTAACGGGTTCGGGCAGGTGCGGGTTGGTAAAACTCGACCCATGCAGGTCTCTAAGCTACACTACATTCAGTATCGTTGCCATAGAAACAGACAACAGCGCCAATATATCAGAATTATACTAAAACACACGCAAATAATTTCCCACATAAAAAACAGGACTTTCAGTCCATTACAGTTTTCCGTTTTTAGAGGGTTGTTTATTATGCGTTTATTAAGTGATGGCTGTGGTATATTAGCTTTCACTGCTATAAGCTTTCGCAGCAGTGATTGATTAATTTAAACACCTGCTCTACTGATGGTCTATCGGAGTTGGTGTTTAGGTTGAACACAAAGAACACCTTTTATTTGAAGCTTCTTGTAGCTACTGTTTTAATCCCGGCTTTACTTAAAACTTTTTCCTGACCTTGATAGTGTTGCCATTCAGTAGCAAGGGATAAGGTTAAAGAAAATGGATGGTTGAACATAGTCCGCTCTCCCAGATTCTATCAAATCAGTATTGATACCCTCAGGGGCGGATTTAGGAAATTTGGGGCCCTAGGCAAAGACAGGCAGGGGGCCCCCTGAGAAGAAAACCCATAAAACAGACCCATTCTACAGATAGAGAAATGTTAATAGAATAGACATCCATTATTTGTTCTAGGTTTTGTCCCTCTCTTCTTGTCCCTTTTTCCTCTCTATTTATCAGTGTTCTGATGGCATTTTAGCCAAAGGATTTTTATCAAAAACATAATTAATGTGCACAAATAAGGATTAGTTGTATTAACCATACATGGAAACAGAGTTTTATGGGGCCCCCAGGAACTTGGGGCCCTAGGCAACTGCCTAGTATTGCCTAATGGTAAATCCCCCCCTGGATACCCTGCTGGTGGATGTTCTTGACAGAAAGACGGAGTTGCTTAATCATATTCTGCTTAAGGCCCCATAAGATCTTGTCCGAGTCCTGGTTTAAAAGTAAATAAGTTTTAAAAAGTGACCCAAAATTGACTGTCTGTTTAGATTTATGTGATATTTTTTGCACAAAATATATAAGTGAATATTGTAACAGTTATGTTTTCAACTGTAAGCATTAAATTGATAAATGTTATTCGCATTTTTTTGGCTTTATCCTTTCCAAAAAAAAAAAAGGCGTCGCGCAGGTAGCTCCCTTTCCTTATGAGCCGTCCCCACCAACTTTCAACACAAAGTTACATCCTGCGCGAGCTGTGCATGCAATATCTTCTAGGGGCTGAGCCACCCTTGTCTCTTAAACCTAGAGACGCCCCTGATAAAGGCCTTTATTATGGATATCTATGCTCTCATCCACCACTGCCCTTCAGCTGCTGCGGCTCCTTTAAGCCGCGGCAGCATGCCACGGCGCATGCGCGGGCGAACGGGATTCTACTGCTGCATTCAAATATCCTGACTTAGCTCGTAAATTATAATACTCTCATTATTTATTGCGTTGATGGTTAGTTATTGAAGAAAAAAAAACCGACAATTAAAATAACTTTTCTGTTTGTTTGTTTTTTAGTTTTGATTTCTGTAACGTGTCGCTCTTCAGCCAAGCATCGCTGACATCAAACATTTTAAAAGTGTTTCTCATTTTGATTACGTAGTTCTACCTACACAGTAGGTACGTTTGGATGAAACACGTCACTGTGAGTCTATGGAGCTGAAGCAGCTCAACCATCCAATCAGCTCCGAGGAGCCCGCTCCACATGTAGTGAAGAACCGGATCCTGCTGGGTCAACGATAAACCCCGAACCTCCGACTGACCCAGAACGCAGCGCGGCTCCTCCACCCTGCTGGCTGGCTGACCCGGCCCACTCAGCCGCTGCCTGCCTGCGGAATGCTCCGTTTCTCCGGTGTGTTCGCCTCCAGCCCGAGCCCCGCGGTGCCGCGGTGGGAACCAGGGCCGATATGAGCGGCACCGATCGGGCCGCGGTCCGCTACGCCGCGGTGCTGGTTCTGTGCGTCCTGAGCTTCAGCAACTCTCTGCGGGGGGAGCTGGTGCACGACGACGTGTGGGCGATAGTGAACAACCCGGACGTCCGAGCGGGATCCAGCCTGCGGAGCATCTTCAGCAACGACTTCTGGGGGAAAAGGATGGCGGACAACAGCAGCCACAAGTCCTACCGGCCCTTGACCATCCTCACCTTCAAGTAAGAACTCCCCATCCTCACCCCCTGACCATCCTCACCTTCAAGTAAGAACTCCCCATCCTCACCCCCTGACCATCCTCACCTTCAAGTAAGAACTCCCCATCCTCACCCCCTGACCATCCTCACCTTCAAGTAAGAACTCCCCATCCTCACCCCCTGACCATCCTCACCTTCAAGTAAGAACTCTCCATCCTCACCCCCTTGACCATCCTCACCTTCAAGTAAGAACTCCCCATCCTCACCCCCTGACCATCCTCACCTTCAAGTAAGAACTCCCCATCCTCACCCCCTGACCATCCTCACCTTCAAGTAAGAACTCCCCATCCTCACCCCCTGACCATCCTCACCTTCAAGTAAGAACTCCCCATCCTCACCCCCTGACCATCCTCACCTTCAAGTAAGAACTCCCCATCCTCACCCCCTGACCATCCTCACCTTCAAGTAAGAACTCCCCATCCTCACCCCCTGACCATCCTCACCTTCAAGTAAGAACTCCCCATCCTCACCCCCTGACCATCCTCACCTTCAAGTAAGAACTCCCCCATCCTCACCCCCTGACCATCCTCACCTTCAAGTAAGACCTCCCCCATCCTCACCCCCTGACCATCCTCACCTTCAAGTAAGACCTCCCCCATCCTCACCCCCTGACCATCCTCACCTTCAAGTAAGACCTCCCCATCCTCACCCCTGACCATCCTCACCTTCAAGTAAGACCTCACCCATCCTCACCCCCTGACCATCCTCACCTTCAAGTTAGAACTCCCCATCCTCACCCCTGACCATCCTCACCTTCAAGTAAGACCTCACCCATCCTCACCCCTGACCATCCTCACCTTCAAGTAAGACCTCCCCCATCCTCACCCCCTGACCATCCTCACCTTCAAGTAAGACCTCCCTCATCCTCACCCCTGACCATCCTCACCTTCAAGTGAGACCTCACCCATCCTCACCCCTGACCATCCTCACCTTCAAGTAAGACCTCACCCATCCTCACCCCTGACCATCCTCACCTTCAAGTAAGACCTCCCTCATCCTCACCCCCTGACCATCCTCACCTTCAAGTGAGACCTCCCTCATCCTCACCCCCTGACCATCCTCACCTTCAAGTGAGACCTCCCTCATCCTCACCCCCTGACCATCCTCACCTTCAAGTAAGAACTCCCCCATCCTCACCCCCTGACCATCCTCACCTTCAAGTAAGACCTCCCCCATCCTCACCCCCTGACCATCCTCACCTTCAAGTAAGACCTCCCCCATCCTCACCCCCCTGACCATCCTCACCTTCAAGTAAGACCTCCCCATCCTCACCCCTGACCATCCTCACCTTCAAGTGAGAACTCCCCATCCTCACCCCCTGACCATCCTCACCTTCAAGTAAGAACTCCCCCATCCTCACCCCCTGACCATCCTCACCTTCAAGTAAGACCTCCCCCATCCTCACCCCCTGACCATCCTCACCTTCAAGTAAGAACTCCCCATCCTCACCCCCTGACCATCCTCACCTTCAAGTAAGAACTCCCCATCCTCACCCCTGACCATCCTCACCTTCAAGTAAGACCTCACCCATCCTCACCCCTGACCATCCTCACCTTCAAGTAAGACCTCCCTCATCCTCACCCCCTGACCATCCTCACCTTCAAGTGAGACCTCCCTCATCCTCACCCCCTGACCATCCTCACCTTCAAGTAAGACCTCCCCCATCCTCACCCCTAACCATCCTCACCTTCAAGTAAGACCTCCCCCATCCTCACCCCCTGACCATCCTCACCTTCAAGTAAGACCTCCCCCATCCTCACCCCCTGACCATCCTCACCTTCAAGTAAGACCTCCCCCATCCTCACCCCCTGACCATCCTCACCTTCAAGTTAGAACTCCCCCATCCTCACCCCCTGACCATCCTCACCTTCAAGTAAGACCTCCCTCATCCTCACCCCCTGACTATCCTCACCTTCAAGTAAGACCTCCCCCATCCTCACCCCCTGACCATCCTCACCTTCAAGTTAGAACTCCCCATCCTCACCCCTGACCATCCTCACCTTCAAGTAAGACCTCACCCATCCTCACCCCTGACAATCCTCACCTTCAAGTAAGACCTCACCCATCCTCACCCCTGACCATCCTCACCTTCAAGTAAGACCTCCCTCATCCTCACCCCCTAAACCTTACTCACCTTCAAGTAAGACCTCCCCGATCCTCACCCCCCTGACCATCCTCACCTTCAAGTAAGACCTCCCCTATCCTCACCCCTGACCATCCTCACCTTCAAGTAAGACCTCCCCCATCCTCAACCCTGACCATCCTCACCTTCAAGTAAGACCTCCCCTATCCTCACCCCTGACCATCCTCACCTTCAAGTAAGACCTCACCCATCCTCAGCCCTGACCATCCTCACCTTCAAGTAAGACCTCCCCCATCCTCACCCCCCTGACCATCCTCACCTTTAAGTAAGAACTCCCCCATCCTCACCCCCACCTTCAAGTAAGACCTCCCCCATCCTCACCCCCTGACCACCCTCACCTTTAAGTAAGAACTCCCCCATCCTCACCCCCACCTTCAAGTAAGACCTCCCCCATCCTCACCCCCTGACCATCCTCACCTTTAAGTAAGAACTCCCCCATCCTCATCCCCACCTTCAAGTAAGACCTCCCCCATCCTCACCCCCTGACCATCCTCACCTTCAAGTAAGACCTCCCTCATCCTCACCCCTGACCATCCTCACCTTCAAGTGAGACCTCACCCATCCTCACCCCTGACCATCCTCACCTTCAAGTAAGACCTCACCCATCCTCACCCCTGACCATCCTCACCTTCAAGTAAGACCTCCCTCATCCTCACCCCCTGACCATCCTCACCTTCAAGTGAGACCTCCCTCATCCTCACCCCCTGACCATCCTCACCTTCAAGTGAGACCTCCCTCATCCTCACCCCCTGACCATCCTCACCTTCAAGTAAGAACTCCCCCATCCTCACCCCCTGACCATCCTCACCTTCAAGTAAGACCTCCCCCATCCTCACCCCCTGACCATCCTCACCTTCAAGTAAGACCTCCCCCATCCTCACCCCCTGACCATCCTCACCTTCAAGTAAGACCTCCCCATCCTCACCCCTGACCATCCTCACCTTCAAGTGAGAACTCCCCATCCTCACCCCCTGACCATCCTCACCTTCAAGTAAGAACTCCCCCATCTTCACCCCCTGACCATCCTCACCTTCAAGTAAGACCTCCCCCATCCTCACCCCCTGACCATCCTCACCTTCAAGTAAGAACTCCCCATCCTCACCCCCTGACCATCCTCACCTTCAAGTAAGAACTCCCCATCCTCACCCCTGACCATCCTCACCTTCAAGTAAGACCTCACCCATCCTCACCCCTGACCATCCTCACCTTCAAGTAAGACCTCCCTCATCCTCACCCCCTGACCATCCTCACCTTCAAGTAAGACCTCCCCCATCCTCACCCCTAACCATCCTCACCTTCAAGTAAGACCTCCCCCATCCTCACCCCCTGACCATCCTCACCTTCAAGTAAGACCTCCCCCATCCTCACCCCCTGACCATCCTCACCTTCAAGTAAGACCTCCCCCATCCTCACCCCCTGACCATCCTCACCTTCAAGTTAGAACTCCCCCATCCTCACCCCCTGACCATCCTCACCTTCAAGTAAGACCTCCCTCATCCTCACCCCCTGACTATCCTCACCTTCAAGTAAGACCTCCCCCATCCTCACCCCCTGACCATCCTCACCTTCAAGTTAGAACTCCCCATCCTCACCCCTGACCATCCTCACCTTCAAGTAAGACCTCACCCATCCTCACCCCTGACAATCCTCACCTTCAAGTAAGACCTCACCCATCCTCACCCCTGACCATCCTCACCTTCAAGTAAGACCTCCCTCATCCTCACCCCCTAAACCTTACTCACCTTCAAGTAAGACCTCCCCGATCCTCACCCCCTGACCATCCTCACCTTCAAGTAAGACCTCCCCTATCCTCACCCCTGACCATCCTCACCTTCAAGTAAGACCTCCCCCATCCTCAACCCTGACCATCCTCACCTTCAAGTAAGACCTCCCCTATCCTCACCCCTGACCATCCTCACCTTCAAGTAAGACCTCACCCATCCTCAGCCCTGACCATCCTCACCTTCAAGTAAGACCTCCCCCATCCTCACCCCCCTGACCATCCTCACCTTTAAGTAAGAACTCCCCCATCCTCACCCCCACCTTCAAGTAAGACCTCCCCCATCCTCACCCCCTGACCACCCTCACCTTTAAGTAAGAACTCCCCCATCCTCACCCCCACCTTCAAGTAAGACCTCCCCCATCCTCACCCCCTGACCATCCTCACCTTTAAGTAAGAACTCCCCCATCCTCATCCCCACCTTCAAGTAAGACCTCCCCCATCCTCACCCCCACCTTCAAGTAAGACCTCCCCCATCCTCATCCCCACCTTCAAGTAAGACCTCCCCCATCCTCATCCCCACCTTCAAGTAAGACCTCCCCCATCCTCATCCCCACCTTCAAGTAAGACCTCCCCCATCCTCACCCCCTGACCATCCTCACCTTTAAGTAAGAACTCCCCCATCCTCACCCCCACCTTCAAGTAAGACCTCCCCCATCCTCACCCCCTGACCACCCTCACCTTTAAGTAAGAACTCCCCCCTCCTCACCCCCACCTTCAAGTAAGACCTCCCCCATCCTCACCCCCTGACCATCCTCACCTTTAAGTAAGAACTCCCCCATCCTCACCCCCACCTTCAAGTAAGACCTCCCCCATCCTCACCCCCTGACCACCCTCACCTTTAAGTAAGAACTCCCCCCTCCTCACCCCCACCTTCAAGTAAGACCTCCCCCATCCTCACCCCCTGACCATCCTCACCTTTAAGTAAGAACTCCCCCATCCTCACCCCCTGACCATCCTCACCTTTAAGTAAGAACTCCCCCATCCTCACCCCCTGACCATCCTCACCTTTAAGTAAGAACTCCCCCATCCTCACCCCCACCTTCAAGTAAGACCTCCCCCATCCTCACCCCCTGACCATCCTCACCTTCAAGTAAGACCTCCCCCATCCTCACCCCCTGACCATCCTCACCTTTAAGTAAGAACTCCCCCATCCTCACCCCCACCTTCAAGTAAGACCTCCCCCATCCTCACCCCCTGACCACCCTCACCTTTAAGTAAGAACTCCCCCCTCCTCACCCCCACCTTCAAGTAAGACCTCCCCCATCCTCACCCCCTGACCATCCTCACCTTTAAGTAAGAACTCCCCCATCCTCACCCCCTGACCATCCTCACCTTTAAGTAAGAACTCCCCCATCCTCACCCCCTGACCATCCTCACCTTTAAGTAAGAACTCCCCCATCCTCACCCCCTGACCATCCTCACCTTTAAGTAAGAACTCCCCCATCCTCACCCCCACCTTCAAGTAAGACCTCCCCCATCCTCACCCCCTGACCATCCTCACCTTCAAGTAAGACCTCCCCCATCCTCACCCCCTGACCATCCTCACCTTCAAGTAAGACCTCACCCATCCTCACCCCCTGACCATCCTCACCTTCAAATAAGTTCTCACCCCCATCCTGGGATGAAATGTCTTTAATGGAGGGAAGAGGAGCCCCCATGATCCTCTCTGCTGTTTTTACTACTCTCTTCACCTTCTTCCAGTCTGAGGCGCTGCAGCCTCCACACCACACAGTGAGACAGCTGGTCAGAACGCTCTCTATGGTGCTTCATAGAAGGTGGGGAGGATGGGGGGGGGCAGGTGGGCTCTCCTCATCCTCCGCAGGAAGTCTAAGCGCTTCTGGGCCCACCTCTACAGCTGAGCTGTAGATGAGCAGTGGAGCGTGGTTAGGCCGGTTCTTCCTGAGGTCCAAGATGATCTCCTTCATCTTCCCTTCTGATGGAGGTGGAGCTCTGCGGTTCCGATGATGGCAGAGGTTTATGGTTCTGGCATCAACTTTAATGACCAATATTTTTCCAGCTATTGTTTTGGTCTGAGTTCTTGGACCTTGTTTAGCGTTTAGCAGGGCATTGTCACGGTGATTTCATTAAATAAGGCCACCAGATGAGAGAGGCAGCTGGTTTTTTTCAGCTTGGAGGAAAAACATTTAAAACGCATTTAGAGAGAACCAGTCCTACCATGATGGTGATGATGATGATACTTAGTGACTGAATAAACTGGAATTAGTCAGAATTGATCATTTTGGGAAATGTTTGATCATCTAAAGAAATCAGTCTGATTTTAGCTGACCCGCTGCCCCCTATTACTGCCCCCACCGCGGCCCCCACTGCTCGATGACCACAGGCTCTACAGCTGCCTTCACCTTCCAGTCCCTCTCTGGTTCCTCCCTGAGGCCTTGGTTTTCTGTTTCCATCATCTGACTCATTGATCCTCTGCTGCTGATCAGTGATCTTTATCCGCTTTAGTCTGTTTGTTTCAGGAAGTCCTACAGGATCTCAGGTCTGTCATTCTCCACCACCTTGGGAGGGGGCTCCCATCCTGACCTGGGAGTCTCCAGTTTATGTTCTGTATCCCTTCGACAATGATGTCCATGTATTCCCTTCCTGCCAGTATCTTCCCCCTGCGGGGAGATGCTGGATTGCCTCTGTGTAGCCTGACCTGGGATCTCCTATGGTAGATCTGGGCTGCAGTGCTGTCAGGAGGGGGGTATCCAGGCCCACAGTGGAGCCCCGGGAATCAAAGCTATGCAGTCACAGAGTCGCTGTGTTCTTTCCACCGCTTAATATTAACAGTATTAACATCTGGATCCTTAGAACAATGAGGCAGGTGATGATAATCTACAGCTGTGTGAGCAGCAGAGAAAGGGACCCCCTGCTGTTGAACAGCTGATGGTCCAGAAAGGAGGTGAGCAGGACCTCATCCAGCAGCTGCTTCTTTCATCATTTCTGCTTTTCTCTCCATCAGGTTGAACATCCTGCTGGGCGGCATGACGCCGCTGTATTTCCACATCATCAACGTTTGTCTGCACTGCGCCGCTACCTGCCTGCTCATGCACACATGTGAACGTTATGTGTTTGAAAAGCCTCGTCTGGCCTTCATCACGGCGCTCCTCTTCGCGGTGCATCCTGTCCACACCGAGGCGGTGAGTGACCCTGACCCAGAACCTTAACCTGACCCACATCCTGATCCTGACCCAGATCAGGGACGGACCCTGGGTCTGCCCCCAGGCATAGGCGGATCTACTGGGGTGGCATAGGGTGGCAAATGCCACCCTAAATGACAGCCTTGCCACCCCAGCTGCCACCCCAGTTGGCGGTAGGGGTGGCGAGGCTTATAAATTATGGATCATTTGAGAATTACGGCCGCTAATTTCCAATGTCGGACTGCAGTGAATGCAGCACGAGATGACGCGAGAGCGACTGAGACTGATTGTTTTGAAAACCGAGCGGGGCAAAGCGAGGGAGCCAGGGGTGTTGGGGAGAGGAGACACAGGATGAAACAGGTAAAAACTGATTAACTATCTATCGAGAAATGAAATCATAATGAAAGCACAATGTTGCTAGCATAGCTGCAATGTTGATTTTGAGATGATAAAAATCAGGTTGCAGAACGTTATTTCTCTATCTATGATGTTAGTTAGGCCTGATGTCTCAGCCTCATAAAGACATATTTGCGGTCAACTATGACAGAAAAGAGACGATCAAGTTTGGTTTTACTCAAATCAAAACACACAAAGACATTGGATCTAAATAAATTAGTGAAGCATTTTGCTGAGCAACATGGAAATCACTGCATTCAGCTGTTATAGTCATGTTAACTTAATGTTATGCTCTCTGGTGAGCCTTTACAGAGCCGTTACATTTTGTTTTGGCACCTGAGAAAATCTGATATTTCCTTTAATAAAACCAAAAGTGTTAAAAGTTAAAAATGTGATACTGGTGTAAATCCTGCTTAATATGAAGCAGTGTTGTTGTTTCTTTTTTTGTAAATATAATATGAAACTATCCAGAAATGACCCGTATGAACCTACTCACAAGCAAAATGTATTTTTATGTTGCTTCTTTTCAGATTTGTGGAGATTTTGATGTAACAAACAGAACCCGCCTTTTTGTTGATTTGTTGATACAGCAGTATGGAGGACCAACTCTGCCATATTTAAAAATAAATACAGAAATAAATAAATGCTCAATAAATAAATAAGCATAGAATTAATTGCCACCAAAAATACAAACAACAAATAAATGTAAGTAGAAATTAAATTATACAGCTAGTCATAAAGGTATATAACTCTTTAATTGGCTTCTTTATTTCTTTGCCTTTTTAATATTTACCTTATTTATTTTTTGTCATTTATTATCTTCAACTTCATTTTTTAATTACTTATATTTTTAAGTATTTATTTATGTGCATGTTATCATATTTTTGTCTGTTTTATTCTTCCTTTGTATTTTTTTTACCCTAGTTATTTCTTCGCCGCTATTTCTTTCTGCCCCCCCTTTTAACATTTCTGCCTGCCATTATAATATAATTTCTAATTACATTTATTTGTGGATTGTATTTTTGGTGGCAATTAATTGTATGCTTATTTATTTATTGAGCATTTATTTATTTCTGTTTTTATTTTTAAATATGGCAGAGTTGGTCCTCCATATACAGCTCTATCTACAGCATATTTACATGCATGAAATGTCCCTTTCATGTTGCCTTAACTGCTGTATGTCCAGTTACTGAGGAACAAATGGGGTAAATCTGTGTTCAGAGTAAACATTACATAGATGTCCAGTACCTTGTTCGGGTGCCTTGACCCATTTATTTAGTTCTGCTGACTTTAGTCCAGCTCAGTCCATAGATCTCTGATGGGAAACTTTTTCTTTCTATAGTTTCTTCTTGTGCAAATGCTGCAAAGCTGCCTCTCTGACAGTCAATCTCACACATCTGCGACTCAGAACCTGTGTCTTACCTTAATACCTTTCCTGTCATAAGGCCCCTCTAGAAGTAGTGTTATCATTCTTCTATCTCCTATTAAGTGAGATCTCATTGTACGATGTATTATTAATATGAACTGTTTCACATGAAACACTAGTACTGTACATACTATTCTCACCAAACCGTGATAACTGTGATTAAATTCAGTGTAAACAAATGCCATATGTTGCCACCCCTAAAAAATTCCTGCCCCCCTCTTGCCACCCCATAAATATTTTTCTAGATCCGCCCCTGCCCCCAGGGACAGTTATTATCTGAATACATTTAATAATCCTTCCACCCTCAGTGCTCAAACATTGCAGGTTTAATTAAGATGTATGAATAATCTGGTGATTGATGAAGCATCTATACTTTCTATTACCTGTTCTTTCAGTAAATGGCCTCTTTTACAGCGTTTATTCACTTTAATGATTAGATTATTAATCAGACAGGATTTTACTGCTTATTTCCTGTTATGAAGCATTTTGAAGTGTTTAAGGGAAGTTTAAAGGTGAAATTAAAGCCTTATTTAACAGTTTAAACATTCACCTCTAAACATGATTCCATGTCAGCATCCATCAACCGAAGCAGGCCAGAGGCTCCTTAGCCTTCATTTCAGAGACGGACAGACGGACGGACGGACTAAACTTTTAATATCAAAGAAAGCCATTCCCACTAGGCAGCGCTAAGGTCAACCTAGTAATGGAAGAGGAGGCCAGAAGGCTTCAATGTGATTCCTGGGTGTTGAACTGATGGCGATGATGATGATGATGATCAGCTGATGAAAAGCAGAAAAAAAGTTTCCTTTTTCATAATTTACTGAAAAAATAAATAAAATCGCAGGATTGTTGAGTTTCAGACGTTCTGCAGCCCAGCAGTCACTCATTGACTCAGTGAAGGAGGCTCCTGTCTGAGAGCTACAGAGGCTGCATTCATCAATACCCGCCTCGTTCTTCCTGCGGAGCCTGGCGGCCATCTGTGCGACATGTTGCTGATAGTAGAACAGGAGAGAGAGCAGAGCATCTGGACCTGACTCTGGGCGGGCCTGGGTGGATGTCTGTCCTCTAAAAGGGTGTACCTTTACACTTCCTCCCTAGGAACAATGGCTGGATCCAGTTGCAGAGAAGCTGGATGGCAGATTACTTCTAAATGATCTCACTGGGCTAAAAATAAAGAGCAAACCAAGGAGGAGAGCTGTTCTCCTCCTCTAACACCAAAGGGAGCCAGAACCTGCAGAGTTGGACCACTTCTCAAACCTACCAGCAGTACGTCTGATCCGCTCTAATCCAGCAAAAACCGGTGAAGATCCGCTGGAGGGGGCAATGGAGATATTAGAATGAGTGGGTCTGTTCGCTAATGCTGATTTATAGCTTATAATCCAGTAATCTGTGCCAATCCCAGCTAAAGTCATATCTGTCCAATTCAATACAGACAAGCTAACAACAAACCGAGCCCTGCCATAAAATGAATCATTTTAAATGCTCAACGGCTTGTACTCATAGAACTAGACCCAGCAACCTTACCTTCAGTCAGTCATTCACCCACTGATGGTGGTGAGCTGCATCTTAGCCACACCTGGGGCTCGCTGCCAGAAGCCAGGCTGCCGTACACAGGCGCCACTCTCTGGCCACCATCGGGAGCCACTGACACAGCGACAATGAGGGCAAGCTCTTGCATCCACCGTCATCCCAGTGAGACTCCCCTTTGATCTCAAAGAAACGGGTTTTAGTAAACATAGCAGATTCAGAAACAGAAGAGATCGAGGAAAACCTTCTTTGTTGAGGAGAAAGTAGAGTTAATGGCAGCAATGCCGATTATTAGCTCCACCCAGGAGAGAAACACAGCAAAGCAAATCAATTACAAGACAACTAGTCCTCATAAAAGCTTAGCCAATAGCTATGTCTAGGAGAGAGGCAGAGTTAAGCACTGAAAGGCAGGACCAGGATGATCATCCATGAGGTCAATCCCCTCTGGCAGGAATCATCACAGCTTAGAGGAAATAGGAGCAAATAATATAAAACTGGAGAAAAGAAGTAGAATGTAGCAGAGTCGGAAAAAGTGGTCCCTATATCCTCCAGCAGCCTAAGCCTATAGCAGCATTAACATAGAAAAAAAACAGAGTATAACTGAGCTTTATCATGAATAGAAGTGTCAAAAGTAGAGAGAGCAGAGATTAGAACAGGGATAGTTCTCAAAGGCCTTAATCCTCATTTTGGCCTTCCTCGGATCAAGTACAATCTATTAACCCTATTTCCTGTCTGCATACTTTAAAATAAAAGCCACCTACGGCTATAAAAAGTAGACAGGGTGTCTGCCTCACGGACTAAAACTGGTAGTTGGGAGGGAAGAGAGGAGAGGAGAGATATGATCTCTCTTTTTCATTTTCATCAGAACTCTGGCTGCAGCATTTTGGATCAGCTGAAGGCTTTTAACTACAGTTTGTGGACTTCCTGATAGTAAATTATTACAATAGTCCAGCCTTGAAGTAACAAATGCATGGACTAGTTTCTCAGCATTTTTCTGTTCTTTTTTATTTAATCTGAAGTTCATTAGATGTAAATTAACCCAGATTCACAAAAGAAACATTCAGCTTGTTCGTTTTATTGTAGATCTAGTCACCCTAGATTCTCTGCAACTCAGTTTGGAGAGTGCAAGTATTCATATCATTAATGCGGTTATTTTATAATGTCTTCAGTGTGTTCCTGTGTCTTCTCAGCTGCTCTCCTCCATGTTGGTTGGGTTTTCTGTCAGAGAGGCTTAGTGAACTTGTTTGATGGCGAGCTGGCTGGTGGTCAGTTGGTTAAAGGTGATCCTCTCTGATCGTTCCTCTCTGCTGGGATTAGACGTGGATTTAGCTTCAGGAAGTGGTTTCTGTTGTTTTATCATGGCTGGACCAGCACTCTGGGAACTGGTACGTACTGGTTTGATGGCTGGGCCTGTTGGCCCGGTTCCTGCTGCAGTGAGCCGACCTCTCTGGGATGAAATGTTCAACATCTGGAGGTTGACTGGATTCTGGGTCTCTGGTTTTCCTGTGAGTGATTGGAAGAGCTGTTTGACCTCCCGATCTGTGTGATTTGGTTCTGCAGCAGGCGGACGGTCGTTCACCTAGGGATCCATTAAGGGGATGAGTGGCCTAGTCCAATCCATGCTCAGTTTCAGCTTTCCTTCACTCAGACCGTGGTGGTAATGGAGCAGAGGGTCTGTAGCAGGGTCGTCGGTGCTTCAGTGAAGCTGAAACCTTTCCTGTGTGTTGCAGGTGTCTGGCATTGTGGGTCGGGCGGACGTCTTGGCCTGCCTGCTGTTCCTGCTGACCTTCCACTTCTATATAAGGTAAGGCGTCCAGCCGGAAGCTGCAGAGACGTTCCCTCTCACGGTCCGTGTTGTTCTCAGTCCTGCTTTCCACACGTCTGAGCCAACCTTTCCTTCCTGCTGCGTTTCCGAGAAAAGCCGTCATTGGTCAGGAAGAGCGGAGGTTTTTGGTCAGAAACTCCTCCTTATTCCAGGTGTGGACATCTTCCTGTTGATCTGTTGGCCATCTGTTGTTTTATTGATTATTTTTAAACTGGTTGTGAAGCAAACAATTGTCAACGGATCAAATAAAACGAACAGATTAACACCTTCCCCATGACACAGGGCAAGTCCCTATCAGGTGTGTTGGGGTTTGATAACAAACATCTGTTTTCACTTCTGCGTCTTCTTTGTGTTTTAATGGCAGCTGAGATCCATGAGGGTCATTACAGTCCAGAAAGTGATGCACTTTTTAAATCTTTATGTTAACAGCAGCATGAAATGCGTCCGCTCGTTGGAAAACAAATTGGATCATCTCTGACTGGAAATCTCTTCAAAAAAGGAGATATGTAACAACTGCGCCATCATTCTGACAGGGTCTTGGCTGCGTCCAGCAGTACAGGGCAGTGTTGTTGGCCTGGGGGGGCTGATGCTGTACCACGCCGATAGAAACAAAGATCTCTGTGTGAATAGAGGCTCCTCTGAGACTATTTCCAGACAATCTTTAGCATCTGGAGGGGAAGCACTGCCCTCTGCAGGTGAAAATGAGGAGATCTCTAGATGCTTCCCTGCCAAATGCTGAAACATCCCCAGCCGGCTCCTCCCGGCCCCCTACGGCTTTCACACCTTCTCCAGCTCCAGGCTACACGCAACATTTCCCCCCACATTCATAAAACTGTAAAATTGTGGACATTTTTGGGGACAGCTTTAGCCAGGGACAGGTGGTCCAAAATGGGGACTGTCCCCTGAACTCAGGGACGTCTGTTCACCCTAGGTTAGGGTCAGGACAAAGAAAGGGTTGAAACTGGCTAAAACTGTGTTTAAGTTATTGTGAATCGGCACAAACAGAGAGAATAGATGGGTCAAGTAGAACAAGAGGCCATGTTAAGATGTTTAACCTGTTTTTTCATTGTTTTCTCTGGTGTCCAGGAGTGTTGACCAGTGCGTCTCCGAGGACTCGTTCCCCTCCACTGTGTCTCCAGGGTCTCTTCTCCTCAGCCTGTTCCTGGGAACCTGTGCAATGCTGGTGAAGGAAACGGGGATCACAGTGTTTGGAGTGTGTCTGCTCTACGATGCACTGGTGCTCTGCCACAAGCCTCTCACACGGTGAGCGTCTCAACCTTCCTTTGGCTGTTGGTTTTGATAATGTATGTTTTGGTCATAATGAGTCACTGGGAGTGACACAGTGCTGTTTCCAGATGTTTAACATTCTAACTCAGCTTGGCTTTTCCAAACTTAACTAAGTCTCAGAAATACCTAGAGGAAATTGAGAGTTTGGGGATCCCAGTCCAGTCCAGGAGGTGGCCCTCCTCTGTTGATTCCTGCGCCTGTGTAGCTGTTGTTTGATCTCGCCAAAGTACAGGTCTATAGACTCTTTACCAAACGGTGTAAACTACGTTGTCTGTCTTGTTTCTGGGTGTCTTGCCCGACACGTGGCAGGGGCCGCCTTTTACAGTTTCTTTTTCTATGTCTGCTTCTGTCTCCTTGAACCCTAGTTGGCCTCAGCAGATGGCCGCTCACACTGAGCCTGGTTCTGCTGGAGGTTTCTTCCTGTTCAAAGGGAGTTTTTCCTCTCCACTGTCGCTACAAGCATGCTTAGTGTGAGGGATTGCTGAAGAGTCAATGAGTCGATGCAATCAGCTGGTTTTCTTTAGATAGAAAACTTTAAATCAATCTGACTGGATAATCTGGTTGAACTGGAAAGTGACCTCAGATGACATAAGTTGTGAATTGGCACTATAGAAATAAACTGAATAGAATTGAAATTGCCTTTGGGGTGAAGCCGTTTTTGTCTCAGGATGTTGCCCCATTTGATCTGTTTGCCTGACCTGTCTTATGACTTCTACCTGATGTCTGCCTGCTTGTGAACCGATCGAAACAGTTTCCCGACCACTGAGTCTGCCTGCCCTCGAAACCTGGAACGGTGCCCTGACCTAATCTTGGATTCTCCCTCTGCGCCTTACTGGATCTTTAACCTTCTGGCTCTGACAGCTGACCTTGTCACTGGCATTGGCTATGGCTTCGCTCTCTGGATTATCCTGTCTACATCCTAGGGCTGTGCGGTAATTCAATAACGATATATATCGATCGATAGACGTGTGGCACAATAGAAAAAAAGAGAGTCGATAAAAGTTCGATAAAGAAACGCAGTTTTCCTTCCTTCTCATTGTAGCCTAGCATGTAGGTTTATGCTAGTCACTACTTCCTCCCAACCAATCACAATCGCGGACCCAGGCACGCCGTCACCAAGCGCCGCCCTCTCAAACCACAACACAGAGCACATGAAGGTGCAGCAAGGAGAGGCGGAGGAAATTGTTCTAAAGAAGGGTTTTTGTAGTTCGCCAGTTTGGCAGGATTTCGGTCATGGCAAGTCGGACAAAAAACAAACCACAGTCATCTGGAAAATTTGTAGGGAACCAGTGAAAAAAACCAAGTCTGATAACACAACCAACTTTTCTTTTTAATCATCTCAGCCGCTCACAGCCGCAGGAGAAGAGTTTTTTAGGCCCCGGCGCGACTCTGCATCGTCCTCCGAGGAATCTTCGTTAATTTCGGAAAAATATTTAGATTTATATATATATATATATATTTATATATATATATATATATATATATATATATATATATATATTAGGGATGCACGATATTGGGATTTTGGCCGATATCCGATATGCCGATATTTTAAAACTCATGTAGCCGATAACCGATATCGATACTGATGTTAAAGCTGGACAAAAATAAGTAGTCATTGAAAATTTCTGACACAAAATAATATACTCAAATATATTGATTTTTAAAAACGCGGTATCGATCTATTTTACCTTCAAAATCTCATGAAATTTCATCGTTCTGTTACAAACTCTTGATATTTTGCAAATTCTTGTGAGATTTTGTTAATAAAATAGATCGATACCGCGTCAATATATCAACATATAAAAATATGGCAACATTTCGTGAATTTTCGGGGGATTTTGTAGCATAACGTTGACATATAGCAATATTTCATTAGTAAAAGAGATTGATATGGTGTTTTTAAATGGCAATATATCAGCATATGAAGATATTGGGATATTTTAATGTATCAATATTTTTTCCCTCGTCTTTAGAAGTTTTTAAGTCTGTAAAAAAGAAGTTTTTGAGGAAGAAGAAGAAGTAGTATTTTTTTATTTATTTTTTTTAGACTTTAGAAACTCAGAAGCTGATCAAATATTGGGTTAAATATCGGTGGGGTGGCCGATATCCGATATTCAGTTTTAAGGCCGATACCGATAGGGGGCCGATTATATCGTGCATCCCTAATATATATATATATATATATATATATATATATATATATACATACAGTTCTGGGCAGTTTCCCACGTAGTTCTAACAGTTGAGAGAAAAATGCTGAGGGTCCAGCAACTTCAAAGTAATAACTCAGGTTAAAGCAGGAACCTAAACTGAACCATAACGAGGTGCCAGCAGCTCCTCTAGAAGAATAGGGGTTAGAAAAAATACCCCATAGAAATGCTAGGCTAAAGGGTGAGTTGATTTGGGTTTTTGTTCTTGTTGAGTGGAGTTTCCATGGTAGCCTAGTCCTACAATCTTTTAATTACCACAAGCTGGTGGTGTACTATTCCCACCCAAATAGGGTATTCTATTTATTTATTTGTTATATTTATTTTGGTCACTTTTCTGGTCACTTTAGTTTATTCTTTGTCAGTATTTAATAACATAACTCAGGTCTCTTAAGTTATTTTTCTTTAAAACAATTCTGTTATGGTTAAAAAAGTTGGTTAAATAAAGATTTAATTGGAAGTCTGTGTTTGTGTTCTTTACTAAAATTAAATCATTTAGCAATATCATAAAAAGTCCAGGCAGAGCTGCACATAAAATATGGTTTCAAATCTTTTCCATTATTATCAATATCGATCAATATGCATTTTTTTTTATCGATAAGCTTTTTTTCTATATCGCCCAACCCTACTACATCCGTGTACTTGGTTCTGCTTCCCTGCCTATCATCCTTCCACTGCGCCGCGTTGGCAGCCAGCCAGCCAGAACCTTCATCTACCTCTGGGCTTGGACTGAACTATAAGACCAGAGGTTCCTGCCTTAGATGTCGATGTCGATCCTGATGTCAATAAATGTTCTGATAAATCTGTTAGTCCACCTTTAATACTGGATCACTGAAATGTTCTTTCTGGGCTGAAGGCTATGCAAGTTATCAGAGAAGTCGTGTTTATGAGGAGAATCTGCTCACTGCCGTATTTCAGCGCAGGATCCAGAATCTGTTTAAAGTGAACCAATCCCTTAGTTAGCATTGAAGCTATCAGCTTTATCAGCATGGGTGTTAAAATCCCCCCTGAAGCCAGAATAAGGCTGAAGTTTCCCTTCCACAGAGCCACACAGAAAAACATGATTTGATTGAGCTGTGGGTTTTAACAGCATCATGTTCTGTGTCAGATGAAGGACAACCACAAATTAACAAGATCCTCATTTACTTTACAGATCCTCATTTACTGATTTTTAGCGGACACTTGTTTTACGTTAATTCTTTATATGTTTTGAACTGTGTAAATAAAGTGTTGTTGAAAGTCAAAATCCCCCACTATGATATCAGTATTCAACACCAAATCAGAGAGGAACTCATCTAAAAGGACCTGGTGGACGATACGGAGTTACAAAAAGAAGAGGTTTGTTGCTTTGCAGTTAGGAACAGAGAAACTAAGGGTTAAAGGTTGAGAGGGAGTTTTCCCACGAGGGATCCTGGATCCCAGCTCAGATAGAAACAGGACCTCCGGAAGCAGTCTGGGTCCCATGGCGGGCCCCGAGGCTGGGAAGTTCAGTCTCACTGTTAGCTTGAATTTGAACCAAAGCGTAGCGTCCAGACGTCCAGCTGACTGTCTCTGTTTGCTCCTCAGGGGCCTCAGGGGCTTCAGACTCAGGGACCTCCCTCTCCTCTGCAAAGCCTTGATAAAACGAGTGGGCCTCATCTCTGCCTATGTGAGTATGTTTTCTACACGCCTGGATGACAGCATGTTGTTTCTTCTGATCTCTGATCATCTGAATTCCTTCACATGCAGGGCTTGATGTTAACCATCACCCGAGGCAAGTAGTTTTTTGTGTCGGGAGAGTACAAATGTCATTGCATTTGCCCGCCGGGAAAGTGCAATGATCGCAAAAACAAATTATCACTCAAAATTACTTTAAAATGACTCAGAAGCGTTGCCGGCGCCATTTTTGTTGTTTTGTACACATTCTCGCGTGATTTGAAAAAGCCGGGTGATTTTCCGCCAGATGGCGTGATTTTTGTCCACCTAGCCATAATTTTGATGTACTTAGCAAAACGACAAACAAGCTAGAAAGCGCTATCATATGGCAGTCTTCTGTACAGTGATGCAGGTCATACATTAAAAAATGTTCATTAAATTTTTTTCTCTTAGACATTGGAGAGGTTAATTTTAATGTTATAGAGCTAAACATGTTAAACTGGTGACCTGTTATGTTATTATTATTGTCTTGTTGCTGCATTTATTTTGTCAGGGAAAACTAATCCTGAGTCAGTTAAAAGTCAGGGAATTCTGAAATGATGTCAGACTGTGGAAACCCTGTATAAAATAACTATGTATAATGATTCTCTAGAAAAGTCACATTATATTAATAGTATTATCTTGTATAAACATACCGTGACTCTAAAATAAAAGTTATTCATTTGTGACATTGACTTCTGTCTTGTGATTTATCTTAAGTTTTTAACCTGTCAAGTTTTTTTTAGATTTTTAACATTACAATTTATATTTTTCCAAGCACACAACAGTTTAAAGCAAAGTTTAGTTAGAAAAGAATGTGCAGGAAGGATTGAAAAGCATGTTAACAAGGTAATGTAGGCTTGAGTTCATTATCTGACGCATGCAGATACACACCAGGAACCTGGAAACAAACATGTTTCATTGATATATATACAAAAATGAATATTAGGAACTATATTTATCAAACATTATACTGGGCAAGTAAAAATTGTTTCTGGGCAAATTAAACATCTTAGTACATAAAACCTGGAAACATCTACAGTAACGGCTGAGCTCACAGAGCTATCAGACTTGGTACAGCCATGCTAACCGTTGGAACATGACCTGGAGGCGAAGCTACAGCCAAAGTTAGAATGACTTCAGTCTGAAGGAGGAAGAAGGAAATGGAATGAAAAGAGGAAGATCTGGTCTTTCCAGAAATATTTCAGGGTGAAAATGAGCGAAGCTAAAGTGGAATAGAAACAGCTTTCCAAAGCATGATCCAACTTGCTAATCCACACCGACCTCACAGAAATAGAAAAGTCTGGAAATAAACGCCTGCATGTCATCAAACTGTTCGCTGTGGAACATTTCTGAGCTTCATGCATCTTTAGTTTCCTCTCCTGAACTTCTGATCAGGATGCTTATCTTCAGCCTTGATCCCGTCTAACTCCAGGTTCTCCTCTAGGTGGTGATCATCATGTCCGTCAGGCTCTGGCTCATGGGGGGGTCCATGCCTCTATTCTCAGAACAGGACAACCCCGCCTCCTTTTCTCCTCACCTGCTCACCAGGTTAGCCACACTCTTTCCAGCTGATTCACAGTGAATCCATTAATACTTGTTGGCATCTGGTGTTGTATTACATATGTTGAAATATAGTGATTCATTGTCTGTAGGGGCATCAGGTGAAAAAACAGCAACCGTTCATAAACTTATGTCCACTGGGGGGGTATTAGGCTAATTCTCTCTATCAAAGCTTTACCATCATGGGTTAGAAAAATGCTTTATAACGTTTTCCCTGCCATGGCAATAAGGAATTATAAACAATTAGTCATGAAAACCTTTTTTCATTCAGACATAGAAACATTTTTCTCTACAGAATCACAGAAATGAGCAAATAAAAACAAAATAGAGACAGTTTTTAGGAAAAATATGGATGGATGGATGGATGGATGGATGGATGGATGGATGGATGGATGGATGGATGGATGGATGGATGGATGGATGGATGGATGGATGGATGGATGGTGGGATGGATGGATGGATAAGGGATGGATGGAGAATGGATGGATGGATGGATGGATGGATGGATCGTGGGATGGATGGATGGATAAGGGATGGATGGATGGATGGATGGATGGATGGATGGATGGATGGATGGATGGATGGATGGATGGTGGGATGGATTATGGATAATGGATGGATGGTGGGATGGATGATGGATGGATGGATGGATGGATGTATGGTGGGATGGATGATGGATAATGGATGGATGGTGGGATGGATGGATGATGGATGGACGGATGGATGGATGGATGGATGGATGGTGGGATGGATTATGGATAATGGATGGATGGTGGGATGGATGATGGATGGATAGATGGATGGATGGATGGATGGATGGATAATGGATGGATGGTGGGATGGATGGATGATGGATGGACGGATGGTGGGATGGATGGATGATGGATAATGGATGGATGATGGGATGGATGATGGATGGATGGTGGGATGGATGATGGATGGATGGTGGGATGGATGATGGATGGATGGTGGGATGGATATTGGATGAATGGATGGATGGATGGATGGATGGATGGATGGATGGATGGATGGATGATGGATAATGGATGGATGGTGGGATGGATGGATGGATGATGGATGGATGGTGGGATGGATGGATGATGGATAATGGATGGATGGTGGGATGGATGATGGATGGATGGTGGGATGGATATTGAATGAATGGATGGATGGATGGTGGGATGGATGGATGGATGATGGATGGATGGTGGGATGGATGGATGATGGATAATGGATGGATGGTGGGATGGATGGATGATGGATGGATGGATGGATGGATGGATGCATGGTGAGATGGATGATGGATGGACGGATGGTGGGATGGATTATGGATGATGGTGGGATGGATGATGGATGGATGGATGGATGGATGGATGGATGGATGGATGGATGGATGATGGATGATGGATGGATGGTGGGATGGATGGATGGATGGTGGGATGGATGATGGATGGATGGATGATGGATGGATGATGGATGGATGGATGATGGATGGATGGATGGATGGATGGATGGATGGTGGGATGGATGATGGATGGATGGATGATGGATGATGGATGGATGGATGGATGGATGATGGATGGATGGATGGATGGATGGATGGATGGTGGGATGGATGGATGGATGGATGGATGATGGATGGATGATGGATGGATGGATGGATGGATGATGGATGGATGGATGGATGGATGATGGATGGATGATGGATGATGGATGGATGGATGGTGGGATGGATGGATGGATGGTGGGATGGATGATGGATGATGGATGGATGATGGATGGATGGATGGATGGATGATGGATGGATGATGGATGGATGGATGGATGGATGGATGGTGGGATGGATGATGGATGGATGGTGGGATGGATGGTGGGATGGATGATGGATGATGGATGGATGATGGATGGATGGATGGATGGATGGATGGTGGGATGGATGGTGGGATGGATGATGGATAATGGATGGATGGTGGGATGGATGGATGGTGGGATGGATGATGTATGATGGATGGATGGTGGGATGGATGGTGGGATGGATGATGGATAATGGATGGATGGATGGATGGTGGGATGGATGATGTATGATGGATGGATGGTGGGATGGATGGTGGGATGGATGATGGATAATGGATGGATGGTGGGATGGATGGATGGATGGATGTTTTGCCATCTAATAGTGAAACAGAAAATAAAGTCCTCCAGTGTTTCTGTTTTCCCTCCCAATCGTTGCTCTTTCTCTTCTTCAGGTTTCTCACATACTCCTTCCTGCTGTCCTTCAATGCCTGGCTGCTGCTGGCCCCCATTGTGTTGTGCTACGACTGGCAGGTGGGCAGCATCCCCCTCGTGGAATCTGTAATGGATGTGCGAAACATGGCCACCATGCTGCTGGCTGTGGTGATGGTTGCTCTCTGCTGGCGCTGCCTCCAGTCACTGCAGGTAAGAGGCAGAGGGTAGGCAGATGGAGCTATAGCTAACCTTCCTCCAGAGGGTAGGCCGATGGAGCTATAGCTAACGTTCCTCCAGAGGGTAGGCCATCGGCGTCGCCAGACCCCATTTACTGGGGCACGTGCCCCAGTATAAATGAGCTGTGCCCCAGTATAAATCTCATGAATATTTGCAACATTATTACATTTTTTTAATGCATCAATTTAGATAATTCCAACGGAAGGAGACGTATATTTCTACTCAAATGCGCAGCAAGTGTGCTGTTAACTCCAAATTGAGGATGTATTAGCGCCCCCACGACAGTGCATGTCACTGCATGAACTGCAGGTAAACTAACACGCTGCTCTCAACTGAGTTGGATGGGACACCGTGCGGCCGCGACGCATTTTTAGTTCTGGTAACGTTTCTTACCTGTCAATTTTATTATTTTCCCAGTGAAACCACATGATTTATAGGCTACTAACTGAAAATTACTGCATTGGTTTGTAGATGGATATCAGGAAATTCCTCACATGAAGCAGAGACAGGGAAGCAGTAAAACAAGATGAGAGAGAGGGAGGTAAGGTCCCGTAATGAATTAGTGATTTAAGCTAAGCAGTTACATTAGGGACGTTATAAGCAATATGATAGATATTTACATAATTATAAATTTACGTTTTTTTAATGTTTGCTGTAGAGAATGAGAATGAAGGTGCTGGAGTAGGAAAGGGAGGAGGAGGCGAGACTGAAAGGCAAGAGACAGGAGAGAGACAGGAGAGACAGGACCATGAAGGTGAGGAGGGAGCAACAACCAGCTTCCACAAACAAGAAGGGGACATTAGTGACTTAGGGGGAAAGCATGATGGTCCTAAACAAGTGACGTTGTCCCACCATCCCCAGCACAAATTTGGAGTAAAAAAACGTTCATTTAATTCAAAATGGTTTGAGCTTTTCGTGGTTAAAAATAAAGCCTTGTCATCAAGGATATGCAGTGTGTTTTCAACTTGCTTGATAACATCATGTTCCCCACACTAACGCAGGTCATCCAGATCTCCCTCACAATCCCAGTCTACAGCTGGAGTTGTGAAAGGTCATTCAGTGTGTTGAGAAGGATCCACTTGGCCGAGGTGCACAATGGGACAAGACAGGCTCCATCATCTTGCTATTTTATCAGTTGAAAAGGAAGAACTTTCTAAGCTGAGTCACAAGTGATTGACCACTTTGCAAAAATGATAAATAGGAGGTACACTTTAATGCTCAAAAAATAAAAGGAAAACTTAGCTCAGGATGAGTTAAAATTTCCCCCGAACTAAAACTCTGTAACCTAGGAATTAATGATTACTTCAGAATGTGTATAAGAAAACTTTTTATTTGTCAAAGTTGTTGATGTCTTATTTTTTATAGCTGCAATGTTGAAAATGTTCATGTTTGTTAAAACAAATATGCTCTTATACTCATTAATATCTCAACTGGTAATTTTGGTAGGAATGTATCAGGGTTGGGCAGTGTGCTTGTCTGTATTGATGTATGGAAGGAGGGGCATATGCACTAGGGGGCCAGTGCCCCAGTAAAGCTTTGTGCCTAGCAACGCCCCTGGGGTAGGCCGATGGAGCTATGGCTAACCTTCCTCCGGAGGGTAGGCCGATGGAGCTATGGCTAACCTTCCTCCGGAGGGTAGGCCGATGGAGCTATAGCTAACCTTCCTCCGGAGGGTAGGCAGATGGAGCTATAGCTAACCTTCCTCCAGTGGGTAGGCCGATGGAGCTATAGCTAACCTTCCTCCAGTGGGTAGGCCGATGGAGCTATAGCTAACCTTCCTCCAGAGGGTAGGCCGATGGAGCTATAGCTAACCTTCCTCCGGAGGGTAGGCCGATGGAGCTATAGCTAACCTTCCTCCGGAGGGTAGGCCGATGGAGCTATAGCTAACCTTCCTCCAGTGGGTAGGCCGATGGAGCTATAGCTAACCTTCCTCCAGAGGGTAGGCCGATGGAGCTATAGCTAACCTTCCTCCGGAGGGTAGGCCGATGGAGCTATAGCTAACCTTCCTCCGGAGGGTAGGCAGATGGAGCTATAGCTAACCTTCCTCCAGAGGGTAGGCAGATGGAGCTATAGCTAACCTTCCTCCAGAGGGTAGGCAGATGGAGCTATAGCTAACCTTCCTCCGGAGGGTAGGCCGATGGAGCTATGGCTAACCTTCCTCCGGAGGGTAGGCCGATGGAGCTATGGCTAACCTTCCTCCGGAGGGTAGGCCGATGGAGCTATGGCTAACCTTCCTCCAGAGGGTAGGCCGATGGAGCTATGGCTAACCTTCCTCCGGAGGGTAGGCCGATGGAGCTATAGCTAACCTTCCTCCGGAGGGTAGGCCGATGGAGCTATAGCTAACCTTCCTCCAGTGGGTAGGCCGATGGAGCTATAGCTAACCTTCCTCCAGAGGGTAGGCCGATGGAGCTATAGCTAACCTTCCTCCGGAGGGTAGGCCGATGGAGCTATAGCTAACCTTCCTCCGGAGGGTAGGCCGATGGAGCTATAGCTAACCTTCCTCCGGAGGGTAGGCCGATGGAGCTATAGCTAACCTTCCTCCGGAGGGTAGGCCGATGGAGCTATAGCTAACCTTCCTCCGGAGGGTAGGCCGATGGAGCTATAGCTAACCTTCCTCCAGAGGGTAGGCCGATGGAGCTATAGCTAACCTTCCTCCAGAGGGTAGGCCGATGGAGCTATAGCTAACCTTCCTCCAGAGGGTAGGCAGATGGAGCTATAGCTAACCTTCCTCCAGAGGGTAGGCAGATGGAGCTATGGCTAACCTTCCTCCGGAGGGTAGGCCGATGGAGCTATGGCTAACCTTCCTCCGGAGGGTAGGCCGATGGAGCTATGGCTAACCTTCCTCCGGAGGGTAGGCCGATGGAGCTATGGCTAACCTTCCTCCGGAGGGTAGGCCGATGGAGCTATAGCTAACCTTCCTCCGGAGGGTAGGCCGATGGAGCTATAGCTAACCTTCCTCCGGAGGGTAGGCCGATGGAGCTATAGCTAACCTTCCTCCGGAGGGTAGGCCGATGGAGCTATAGCTAACCTTCCTCCGGAGGGTAGGCCGATGGAGCTATAGCTAACCTTCCTCCGGAGGGTAGGCCGATGGAGCTATAGCTAACCTTCCTCCGGAGGGTAGGCCGATGGAGCTATAGCTAACCTTCCTCCGGAGGGTAGGCCGATGGAGCTATAGCTAACCTTCCTCCGGAGGGTAGGCCGATGGAGCTATAGCTAACCTTCCTCCGGAGGGTAGGCCGATGGAGCTATAGCTAACCTTCCTCCGGAGGGTAGGCCGATGGAGCTATAGCTAACCTTCCTCCGGAGGGTAGGCCGATGGAGCTATAGCTAACCTTCCTCCGGAGGGTAGGCCGATGGAGCTATAGCTAACCTTCCTCCAGTGGGTAGGCCGATGGAGCTATAGCTAACCTTCCTCCGGAGGGTAGGCCGATGGAGCTATAGCTAACCTTCCTCCGGAGGGTAGGCCGATGGAGCTATAGCTAACCTTCCTCCGGAGGGTAGGCCGATGGAGCTATAGCTAACCTTCCTCCAGAGGGTAGGCCGATGGAGCTATAGCTAACCTTCCTCCAGAGGGTAGGCCGATGGAGCTATAGCTAACCTTCTTCCAGAGGGTAGGCCGATGGAGCTATAGCTAACCTTCTTCCAGAGGGTAGGCCGATGGAGCTATAGCTAACCTTCCTCCAAAGGGTAGGCCGATGGAGCTATAGCTAACCTTCCTCCAGAGGGTAGGCCGATGGAGCTATAGCTAACCTTCCTCCAAAGGGTAGGCCGATGGAGCTATAGCTAACCTTCCTCCAGAGGGTAGGCCGATGGAGCTATAGCTAACCTTCCTCCAAAGGGTAGGCCGATGGAGCTATAGCTAACCTTCCTCCAGAGGGTAGGCCGATGGAGCTATAGCTAACCTTCCTCCAAAGAGTAGGCAGATGGAGCTATAGCTAATCTTCTTCTAGAGGGTAGGCCGATGGAGCTATAGCTAACCTTCCTCCGGAGGGTAGGCCGATGGAGCTATAGCTAACCTTCCTCCAGAGGGTAGGCCGATGGAGCTATAGCTAACCTTCTTCCAGAGGGTAGGCCGATGGAGCTATAGCTAACCTTCCTCCAAAGGGTAGGCCAATGGAGCTATAGCTAACCTTCTTCCAGAGGGTAGGCCGATGGAGCTATAGCTAACCTTCCTCCAGAGGCTAGGCCGATGGAGCTATAGCTAACCTTCCTCCAAAGGGTAAGCTGATGGAGCTAAACCACCATATCTTCTCCCTGAAGAAATCCTCATTAGAACAGCTGCATTCACATTGACTTTAAGACCAATCCGTGATGGAACCAAACATGGTCATTTATTGGAGCCCAGGAACAATCGTAATTAAACATAACAAAAATCATTTTTTTTCTGACAGGTTGTGTTTTCCTTTTAGTTGTTCAAAAAACGCTAAGGTTCCTGTCTCAAAGCAGGCCTCCAAGGTATTTCCAGCCTTCCAGTATCTTGGTTCAGTTAGTGGAACAAGTGATTGAAAAAGTTATTGCCAGAGAATAGAAGTAACATTTGTGAGGGAAAGTTGTTTCATTGTCCTCCAGCAGCCTAAGCCTATAGCAGCATCAGTATAGAGGAAACACCACCTGGGTTCAGATCTGAGAGGGCACCCCTAAAGGGTTAGTCCCCCAGCAGGATTATGGGCTTCTCAAGGTACAGTCCAGCACTGCTAAGAAGGGATGCAAAGGAGCCTAGATGAATGGATGGTTGGTCGTCTGTTCCTCACCCTCAGCAAAAACAGAAATGTGTTAAACCTGTGAAACTGTGGTTTGCTGTGAGAAAAATACTTTGATTACAGTGGCCTGTTACTGCAGTAGTCTCTCATTCAGCGCACCAACCAGATTAGATTAGAAATATCAGATTCCTTCACTAAAACTATCCTTTGGCTTTGTTGTTGATCTCCTACAGGGGCAGGAGAACAGGGAGGTGTTGGTGGGAATGTTGTTCCTGGTCTTCCCCTTCATTCCAGCCAGTAATCTTTTCTTTAGAGTGGGATTTGTTGTGGCTGAGAGAGTTCTCTACATGCCCAGGTGAGTCTGTGAAATCTACAGCCTGGCCTGAGGCCACTGCTTATTGACCAGAGACAAAGGAACGTTAGGCCCATGGTCCAAAGGGAACATTGCAGCTGTATATATTATTTTTAACTATTTTCTGGTTGTAGATTTGCACCTTTTATAAAACTTTTACAATGCGAGATCCCAGTTTTTGTCTCAGACTGTGCCGGAATCTGTTTAACTCTGAAATAATCCTCTTTAATTAACCTCCCTAATTGAATGTGTCTCATCTCTTCTCTCCTTCCAAGTATGGGTTACTGTATTCTGGTGGCTCATGGTCTGGGCCGGCTCTGGTCCACCATAGGACGTTGGGGGACCACGCTTCTCAGTGTCTGCATGCTGCTGCTGATCCTGCTCTTCTCCTTGAAAACTGTCCAACAGAATAACGTCTGGCTCTCCAGGGAGGCCCTCTTTCGGTGAGAGTCTGCGTCTCCATCTTAGCTGCAATCACACCAAAGTGCTTTAGTTGTGCTAGCAATGCATACAGCCATACATCGTAGACCCTTTACTAAACATATGACAAACTGTATGCCCGATTTTCCCCTGCAAACTTTGATCAAATGTCAAAATTTAACAACCAGCAGCTGCTGGAGTGTCTGAATCGACTCGCCACATCGACCAATCAGAGAGAAGCTGACCTGGGAGCTGTCAGTGAGACAGACACAGCGCTGCTGATGCGAAGCGCTATTATCTAATCCGTTTCAATTATTGAATCTGTTTCGTTGTTTCCTCTGTCTGGTTTGTTAGCTGTCTCAGTATGTTCCTGTTAGCATCACCGCTTCTTCTACAGATGATAGATTTAAGGATGTAAAGTGCAACAGTAGAGGAGGAGAAGGCTGTCTGCAGCTAGACTAAGGACCTTTGGAAGTGGGACCAGGTGAGAGAAGGAAGACATAGGACAGGTTTAAGAGGCCCACAGCTCTGCAGTGAGCAGAGATCAGGGTTTCTGGGTCATGAAACTGGCCGGCTGGACACTGAAGTGGAAGCAGGCGACAGAGGCTCTGTGAGAGACACCAGTAGTAGGCCAAATGAGCCACCAGGCTGCAGGATCACATCTCAGACTCCATGTTACTTTCTAAGGATTTCTAACGCAACCAAAAAGTCAGGCGAAAGCAAAGGAGATGGATTATCAGTGCTGAGTGAAAACGGGTGGTGTCATCCAGGTCATGCGTCTTTGAATGTTTTGCTCTGCAACACGGACACTGTTAGCAGCCACCCATGCGCCATGTTTTCATCAGTAGGGTTGGCCGATGTTCCATATGATGTCAAACATGTCGTGTCTGTAGTGTTTATTCTCCTGGCAAATAAATGAGCTTTTTGAAGGCATTTAAAAGTGATGAGAACACAGCAAAGTTTGCATTTGTCAGGCCTGGTAAAAATGGCAAAAGATGTTTTTGCTCTGAGGAAGCCTGGTATCTGCGGCAAAGTATTTTGTTTCCCATATGATGAACTATTCTCTCTATATGTGAGAAATGTTCATGGCCACCCAGCAACGACCGGGGCTTTGATTAATTGATGGTGTCTAAAGTCATGGAAATAGGTAGTTTTGGTTGGTGCTCAAAGGGTGGAGTTTTACCTCAAAGATCGGCGTCTGTCAGAAAATGAAACCGATATAGTTTCTATGTAGAACATTCCCTCAGGCAGGATACCTTCTCTGATTGGTCCATGTCTTGCCCAAAACAAAATGGAATGGTCAGACTTTCATAGCCCCGCCTTCTGAGAACAGGAAGTCCATCAACATTGAACTAAGTTGTGTTTTGGCCTTAAGATGTGATGGTTTAGCACATGTTTTGCACTAATTTTCTAATTTCTAATCTGATCTGTACCAAAATCAATAGATCAATCCTAATCCAAGCGCAGACACCAGGAAAGATCTCAGTGTTCAGATGAGGTCCCAGATGCACCATCATCTCACTCCCATTGCCTTAAAACAGGAAGTGTCATGTCTTACTGCTCCAGGTCTGACCCTTACTCTCTCACTGCGGCCGGTTCAGTCCAATGGCGTAACGACACAACAATAAACCCGTAAGCAACATTATCCGGCTGGGCCCCATATGAAGTACAACATGTGATAAAGGTTTGGATACGGCGACAGTTCCATAAATCGGCCAAGAAGAGACAATTATGCAATTCTCAGTAGTATATGATCACACATCATACCTGGAAAAATAGTGACTATGCACCTTGAATGGAACCATTGGTGACAGCACACCACCCCATGTTACAGACATCCCAGGTTCCAAAAACTAATTTCAGGGAGATGATTATCGAACCACTGTCTGCTTTGCTATTGGTGTTCTGTTCAAACGGCTCACCATCATGTTGAAATCTGCCATGTGTTGCGGTATAAATGCCGTCCGGTGTGGTCAATCAGTTCAGTATCAGGTGGGCGTAAAAATGTTTTTTCACACCATTACTTCTGTAAAGAGACGTCCTAGTCTACAATTGCGTAGGGGACACACCAGGTGTCAGTGGTCGTGGACAGTCATGTTTAGCTTCTGGACCTAAGAGGTCGTGGGCCCGTAAGCAACTGCTGTCTGTGCTTACCGATATTTACGCCATTGGTTCATTCCTTCAAATCCTTTTGTTTTGTCTTTTCAGCTCTGGTATCAAAACGCTGCCCCACAATGCCAAAGTCCATTACAACTATGCCAACTTCCTGAAGGACAGTGCTCGGTACCAAGAGGCCATTCATCACTACAACAATGCTCTCAGGTGGGACTTCTTCTGTCAAGTTAGAAACCGAATGATTTTAAATATGAATTGTTTTTCCTAATGTAAAAAATACGGTTGTAGGGTTTGCAGCGCCCGTAGCTGTGGTCGTGCAGTTTGTAGTGGTTATATGGTTTGCGGGCACCTGTAACTGTGGTTGTGCGGTTAACTGGTCAAACTTCATGAGTTGTTTTCCGCAATTTCGGTCATAAAAACAAAACAAGCCGGCCTCCTGTCTGCGGCACTGTCTGCGGTCAGTTACAATTTGGGAGAGGTGCAGCGGGGCGTGTGTGGAGGGGGCGGGGACGTCTGGAGCCGAGGTATTGCATTGCACACATTGCACTGATTTTGCGCAGTATTTTTTGATGCAAGGCCTTTCAGAATCTATAACGCAGGGGTATTATTATTTTTCAGTGAATGAGGTTTTAATAGGAATAGGTGGAGGACAACTTTTCTACTTCTGTTATTTGCTGTTGTTTCTCAAATAAAAATGCATAATGATATTACAGCTTTCATTGATTCATTTCAAATTTGAAACTTTGTTTAGCCTGTAAGGTAAAACATTTTTTTAAATGAACCACATAATCGAATTGTATTATGGTGTATTCTTGAGTATAGAAAATAATCGAATCGTTGGGTCAGGAAATCGATACTGAATCAAATCGCCATGATGGGTGTGATTTACACCCCTAGTATGTAATGAAAAGCATGGACATGATGAATAAAACAGGCCATACTCAGAGCCTAGGGTACCCTAGCTAACTTCAAAGCATATGCCGACAAAGGTAGGATAACCTTAACCTTTGACTCTGTGCTCATACCTCTTAATAAAAGTTGCAGCATGTCAGCCTTTAAAAGTGTGATGCATTATTTATTATTATCTGGTTTATTTACGTTTTAGTTATTTAGAGCAAACAGAGAAAGATCATCACAGCTTCTGGGTCCTAATTATTGAAATGGTTGATGCTTTTATGACCAGAGGCAGATTTCCTCTCATTAGGTCAGTCTGTTAGTCGTGTAGAAGATTCAGCAGTATTGAACTATATTACATACAGCAGTGTTCTCCTTGTTGACAGATTTACTGGTGTATTTTCCTATAACATTAAGCTATCATCTCCTGGGATCACAGGTTATACCCCCGTCACGCCAGTGCCTTGAACAATCTGGGAACACTGACCTCCAGCGCAGATGAGGCGGAGCGTTTCTACAGGAAAGCGCTGGACATCAACCCTCAGCATAACCGCGCTCTCTTCAACCTGGGGAACCTTCTCAAGTAAGATCCAACTTCAGTGTCCAGTAGGCACAGTTTACTGAGGCAGCGTGTTTGCAGCATGTCTGTAGCATGTCTGCAGTGTTTCTGCAGCGTGTCCCCAGCATTTCTGCAGCGTGTCTCCGGTGTGTCTCCGGCATGTCTGCAGCATTTCTGCAGTGTGTCCCCAGCATTTCTGCAGCGTGTTTGCAGCATGTCTGCAGAATAACAGCGGTGTGTCCCCGGCGTGTCTGCAGCATTTCTGCAGCTTGTCTGCAGTGTTTCTGCAGTGTGTCCCCAGCATTTCTGCAGTGTGTCCCCAGCATTTCTGCATTGTGTCCCCAGCATTTCTGCAGCGTGTCTACAGCATTTCTGCAGCGTGTTTGCAGCATGTCTGCAGCATTACAGCGGTGTGTCCCCGGCATTTCTGCAGTGTGTCTCCAGCATTTCTGCAGGGTGTCCCCAGCATTTCTGCAGCGCGTCCCCAGCATTTCTGCAGTGTGTCTCCAGCATTTCTGCACTGTGTCTCCAGCATTTCTGCACTGTGTCTCGAGCATTTCTGCACTGTGTCTCGAGCATTTCTGCAGGGTGTCTCGAGCATTTCTGCAGCGCGTCCCCAGCATTTCTGCAGTGTGTCTCCAGCATTTCTGCAGGGTGTCCCCAGCATTTCTGCAGCGTGTTTGCAGCATGTCTGCAGCATTACAGCGCTGTGTCCCCAGCGTGTCTGCAGCATTTCTGTAGCTTGTCTGCAGTGTTTCTGCAGCGCGTCCCCAGCATTTCTACAACATGTCTGCAGCATTTCTGCAGCGTGTTTGCAGCATGTCTGCAGCATTTCAGCAGTGTGTCTCCGGTGTGTCTCCGACATTTCTGCAGCATTTCAACAGTTTGTCACCAGTGTGTCTGCAGCGTTTAAGCAGTGTGTCACCGGCGTGTCTGCAGCGTGTCTGCAGCATTTCTGCAGCATTTCTGCAGCGTGTCTGCAGCATTTCAGCAGTGTGTCTGCGACATGTCTGCAGCATGTCTGCAGCATTTCTGCAGCGTGTTTGCAGCATGTCTGCAGCATTTCAGCAGTGTGTCTGCGACATGTCTGCAGCATTTCTGCAGCGTGTTTGCAGCATGTCTGCAGCATTTCAGCAGTGTGTCTGCGGCGTGTCTGCAGCATGTCTGCAGCATTTCTGCAGCATGTTTGCAGCATGTCAGCAGCATTTCAGCAGTGTGTCTCCGGTGTGTCTCCGACATTTCTGCAGCATTTCAACAGTTTGTCACCAGTGTGTCTGCAGCGTTTAAGCAGTGTGTCACCGGCGTGTCTGCAGCGTGTCTGCAGCATTTCAGCAGTGTCTCTGCGACATGTCTGCAGTATGTGTGCAGCATTTCAGCAGTGTGTCTGCGGCGTGTCTGCAGCATGTCTGCAGCATTTCTGCAGCGTGTCTGCAGCATTTCAGCAGTGTGTCTGCGACATGTCTGCAGTATGTCTGCAGCATTTCAGCAGTGTGTCTGCGACATGTCTGCAGCATGTCTGCAGCATTTCTGCAGCGTGTTTGCAGCATGTCTGCAGCATTTCAGCAGTGTGTCTGCGGCGTGTCTGCAGCATGTCTGCAGCATTTCTGCAGCATGTTTGCAGCATGTCAGCAGCATTTCAGCAGTGTGTCTCCGGTGTGTCTCCGACATTTCTGAAGCATTTCAACAGTTTGTCACCAGTGTGTCTGCAGCGTTTAAGCAGTGTGTCACCGGCGTGTCTGCAGCGTGTCTGCAGCATTTCTGCAGCGTGTCTGCAGCATTTCAGCAGTGTGTCTGCGACATGTCTGCAGTATGTGTGCAGCATTTCAGCAGTGTGTCTGCGGCGTGTCTACAGCATGTCTGCAGCATTTCTGCAGCGTGTCTGCAGCATTTCAGCAGTGTGTCTGCGACATGTCTGCAGTATGTCTGCAGCATTTCAGCAGTGTGTCTGCGACATGTCTGCAGCATGTCTGCAGCATTTCTGCAGCGTGTTTGCAGCATGTCTGCAGCATTTCAGCAGTGTATCTGCGGCGTGTCTGCAGCATGTCTGCAGCATTTCAGCAGTGTGTCTGCGACATGTCTGCAGCGTGTCTGCAGCATTTCAGCAGTGTGTCACTGGCGTGTCTGCAGCGTGTCTGTTGCATGTCTGCAGCATTTCAGCAGCGTGTCTGCAGCATTTCAGCAGTGTGTCTGTGGCGTGTCTGCAGTGCCTCATTGATAACCAGTCAAAACAGAAATGCTTGTTTTGATTTGGAGCTGTCTAAGTGCTGAAACCATGAACCAGAGGAAGGTGAAAGCAGTGGAGCAGATCAGAACCATGACGACCCTCAGCCAGCCTGGATCAGTCTGTTTGGCGTCCAGCGATGCGGCCCCTCTGACCTCCCATTTGTACAGGAAGCTGATGTCGTCCAATGATTGAGGATCAGCAAAGATCTGCATGAATGTCTGACTGTTAGAAAAAAACTCTGAACCTGGAGCTTTCTGAAAGGACTCCCATCCCCTAAACTTTGCCTTCCGTGTCATTGCAGTAGCTTCTAATGATGATGTTTTCTTAAAGGTCCCAAGGAAATGAGGAAGAGGCAGAAGCTCTGCTGAAAGACTCTATCCGCTACGGTCCACATTTCGCTGATGCTTACTCCAGTTTGGCGTCTCTCTATGCTGAACAGGTAAAGGAAGCTGCGGCTGGCTCCTCCCTCCTTGTTTCCCAGTTTTCCTAGAAGCTGTCAGGTTGCTGATCTGCTGCTGGGAACCTGCTCACTGTTCCTCCACTTTTCCCTCCAGAGACGGTTTGCTGAGGCCAACCAGATGTATTTGGAGGGAATAGAGAGCTGCCCCGAAAGCTCCGACCTCCATAACAACTATGGCGTCTTCCTGGTGGACACGGGTGAGTTCAACTGTTGGTCTGTCTGCACTGATGGAGCGCTGCTCCTCCAGTGATAATAGGTCAGAGACTCCTGAGTTTTATTGGAAGCACTGAGGTAGGAAAGCATCAAATCGTCTACTTTTAGATAACTAGCCTGTCACATCAACCAATAAGAGCAAATCCGTCTCTGTCGGCTCCTCTGCAGCGCAGCATGGAGGAGTAAAGCCTCCTTAGTGTGTCCAAATGCAGGCTGTGGGCCAAAGTTGGCCTTTAACTGGTTTATCAGAGCCGCTAACATTTAAGTCAGAGTGAAGGGCAGAAGATTATCATGGTTTAAGGAAACACTTTCACAGACAAAGAATATAAAGTTCTGCATTCATCTTTCTCTTATAGTAACCTCAAACATCCAGGAAGCTTTAGTCAAAGTTAAGCTTTAGATCAAGCTAATCAGTTCATAACTCAGAGGCTTAATTGGATCATAACATTCCAAACCTAATTTAGTCTGGAGAATTCAAAGTATTTGGTTGTTCTAGAAGTTATTTTAGACGTAATTAGTCTCATGAAGTCATTCCTGCTGAGAGCAGGTGGGATGGACGGTTCAACAGAGCTATGGCTCTGAGCCAACACTCTTCTAGCTTAACAACTCTTCTAAGCTTAGCTTAGCTATTTATACAGCAGTAGACCGCTGTTCCAGATCAGGTCGGGTTCTCCTAGATATGCAGAGTGGAATAATCTAGGGCTTGAACAATTAATCTGATTAATCATTTATTAAAATAATCATCAACTTATTTAGTGATCAATTAATCGTTAACTGGAGTATAGTGACTGTAAAACCTGACAGAGCGACCCACTTAGAGCAGGAATTATACCAAGATTGTAAAAAATATATAAAATTTTTTCATTTAAGATAAAAAGAATGTTTTCGTCTCTCAGTCTGCTCTATAATCCAGAATTCTTTAAGAGGAAAAGTTTGAGTTTCACCTGGTTTCTTTTCATAAAAAATCTTCTTTAAGGAACCTTTTATAATCTTTAACCTTTAATAATAATCAGATTATTAATCAATTAATTGAAAAAATCAACAGTTTAATCAATTTTCTAATTGATAGTTGCAGTTCTAGTATGATCCATCCAACGGACTCAGGACAGATTGAGCCTGGGACCTACCTGCCCCCCCCCACCAGTGAGCCCTGGGATCCTCTTCCTTTCTGTCATCAGACTATGTAAATTCACTACTCTGTTGCTGCTACCACTAGCTTGCTTGACGTTGCCATGACAACGTAACTTCCATAAACTTGTGTTGATTAGGGCTTAAAATAATTAAATGAAAATCCAAATACATGCAATAGTAAAATAAAAAAAGTCCAAATCATTTTGCAAAATATTGATAAGAAATGTATAAATTGCATTTTAAATAATTTTTTATCTCCCTCTTGCCACAAGGGGGTTGTGCAGCACCCCCCACTTCCCGTGGCTGTGGTTAGGTTGGGTTAGCGCCCTCTGCTGGAAGCCAGCGTCTGCTAAAGAGGCTCTCTGAGGCAGAGTATGGCTGTTTCTCACCATGTTTACTTGTCATTCTCGTGTGCTCATGAAACGTCATCCGCCTCAGCCCTAGTACTGTTCCAATTCCAAGTTCCAGTTCCTCTCCCTCTCTTACCCAGCATGCATCAGAACAGACTTGTCCGTTCTCCAGACTGACAGCTGTCCCAGCATGCACTGCAGCAGCAGCAGCTTCCAGGTTAGCGCTCACAGAGCTCAGAGTATTAAGTTAGAAGTTCTCTTCTTTGTTGGCGTTGTTCAATAAAAGTACGTTTTAAGATCATTTGAGGCGAGAACATTATACTTTAGGCTTCACTATATGGAACATTTACTGATTTAGTGCAGAATTTAAAAAAGTTCTGATGCTGAGAGGGCCGTGGCAATCAGAGGAATTCTAAAGCTAACCGCTGCGACGGCTGTTGCGGACGGGCTAACGTCAGCCTATCTGCAGCAGCCACCTCTAATGGTAGTTCGTCTGCAGTCTCTCTGTGTGTGTGAAGTATCGCTGGCTCTGATGGAGGTTTGATCATTATTAATTAATTTATCTGACTGTGTTCATTAATATTCACACACTAAATGAAAATAGTCCATCCATCCATCTTCTTCCTTTTATCTGGGGTCGGGTCGCGGGGGTAGCAAGTTCAGTAGGGAACCCCAGACGTCCCTCTCCTCAGCCACTTGGACCAGGTCCTCTGGGGGAATCCCAAGGCGCTCCCAGGCCAGCCGAGAAACACAGTACCTGCAGCGTGTCCTGGGTCTCCCCCTGGACCCCCTCCAGGTGGGACGTGCCTGGAACACCTCACCAGGGAGACGTCCAGGAGGCATCCTAATCACATGCCCAATCTACCTCTACTGGTTCCTCTCGATGTGGAGGAGCAGCGGCTCTACTCTGAGTCCTCCCCGGTTGACTGAGCTCCTCCCCTTATCTCTAAGGGAGAGCCCAGACAAACTACGGAGAAAACTCATTTCAGCCGCTTGTATCCGGGATCTTGTTCTTTCGGTCTTGACCCAAAGCTCATGACCATAGGTGAGGGTACGAACGTACGACCGGTAAATCAAGAGCTATGGTTTTTGGCTCAGCTCTGTCTTCACCACAACAGACCGGTACAGCGCATGTTTCCTTCCGCCTGTCGATCTCCCGCTCCATCTTCCCCTTATTCATTAACAAGACCCCAAGATACTCAAACTCCTCCACTAGGGGCAGTACATCCTCCCCAACCTGGAGAAGGCACTCTACCCTTTTCCGGCTCAAGACCATGGCCTCGGATTTGGGGGCACTGAACCTCATGCCGGCCGCTTCACACTTGGCTGCGAACCGCTCCAGTGAGAGCTGTAGATCACGCCCTGATTAAGCCAACAGAACCACATCATCTTAAAATAACAGAGATGCAATCCTAAGGCCACCAATACAGATCCCCTCAACACCTTGGCTGCGCCTACAAATTCTGTCCATAAAAGTTATGAACAGAATCGGTGAAAAAGGGCAACCTTGGCGGAGTCCAACCCTCACCAGAAATGAGCCTGACTTACTGCCGGCAATGCGGACCAGGCTCTGACACCGGTCATACAGAGACCTAACAGCCTCTATTACAGGGCCCGGTACTCCATACTCCCGGAGTTCCCCCCACAGGACTCCCCGGTTGAATGCCTTCTCCGGATCCACAAAACACATGTAGACTGGTTGGGCAAACTCTCAAGCACCCTCCAGAATCCTGCTGAGGGTGTCGAGCTGATCCAGTGTTCCACGGCCAGGACGAAAACCACACTGCTCCTCCTGAAACCCAGATTCGATTATCCGATAGACCCTCCTTTCCAGAACCCCGGAATAGACCTTACAAAGGTGGCTTAAGAGTGTGATTCCTCTGTAGTTGGAACACATCCTCAGTTCCCCTTTTTTAAATAGAGGGAACACCACCCCAGTCTGCCAATCCAAGGGAACTGCCCCTGATGTCCACGCAATGTTGCAGACCACGTTAACCAACACAGCCCCACAACATCCAGAGGCTTAAGGAACTCAGGGTGAAACACATCCACCCCTGGAGCCTTGCTACCGAGGAGCTTTTTAACCCCTTCAGTGACATCAGCAACAGACATGGGAGGACCCAAGCCAGAGCCCCCAGGCTCTGCCTCCTCAATGGAAGACGTGTTGGTGGGATTAAGAAGGTCTTCGAAGTACTCCGCCCACTGACATACGACGTCCCCAGTCAAGGTCAGCAGCACACCACCCCTACTATAAATAGTGTTGGTACTGCTCTGCTTCCCCCTCCTGAGATGCTGGATTGTGGACCAGAATTGCTCTGAAGCCGTACAGAAGTCTTTCTCCATGGGCTCTCCAAACTCTTCCCACGCCCGAGTTTTTGCCTCAGCGACTAGCAAAGCCACCTGCCGCTTTGACTGCCGGTACATATCAGCTGCTTCTAGAGTCCCACAGGTCAATAAAGCCTGACTAGCCGCCTCAACAATAGAGGCACGGAACATAGTCCACTCAGATTAGATTAGATTAGATTACCTTTATTGATCTCACAGCGGAGAAATTCACTCGTCACATATTGGCAAAAAGAAGGTGCAAACAGGGAGGAAAAAGGTGCATTAAGAATAAACAATATATATATACAGTATATCCAGGTATATAAGGATTGAGGTGCATGTGTACCTGTATCGCACACAATGAAAAACAAAATAAAAATAAGAAATAAAAAAATAAGAAATAAAAATATGTACAATCCGGATGGCTTATAGACAGGTGGATTTACTTTTACGTTAAAGTGTAGAATGTTGCACAGTCAATAAATAAAAAACTATAATATAGCTGCACAGTGGTTTTTACAGGAGTTATTGTGGTTATAGTGCATTATTATAGAGCCTGGTGGCAGCAGGAATGAATGAGCTGTTGTAGCGCTCCTTCTTACAGACAGGGTGTCTAAGTCTTTGACTAAAGGAGCTGCTCAGCTCCTCTACAGTCTGGTGCATGGGGTGAGAGGTGTTGTCCATGATGGATGTGAGTTTGGACAGCATCCTCCTTTCAGCCACTTCCTCCACCGATTCCAGAGGGCAGCCCAGGACAGACTCAATGTCCCCCACCTCCCTCGGAACTTGTTCAAAGCTCTGCCGGAGATGGGAGTTAAAGCTCCTTCTCATGGTGGACTCTGCCAGACGTTCCCAGCAAACCCTCACAATACGTTTGGGCCTACCAGGTCTGACCGGCATCCTCCCCCACCATCAGAGCCAACTCACCACCAGGTAGTGGTCGGTGGAGAGCTCCGCCCCTCTCTTCACCCGAGTGTCCAAGACATGTAGCTGCAGATCAGATGAAACAACAACAAAGTCGATGATTGAACTACAGCCTAGGGTGTCCTGGTGCCAAGAGCACATATGGACACCCTTATGCTTGAACATGGTGTTCGTTATGGACAACCCACGACAAGTACAGAAGTCCAACAACAGAACACCACTCGAGTTTAGGTCAGGTGGGCCATTCCTTCCAACCACGCCTCGCCAGGTCTCACTGTCATTGACCACGTGAGCATTGAAGTCCCCCAGAAGAACAAGGGAGTCCCCAGGAGGGGCACTCTCCAGTACCCTCTCTAAAGGATGGGTAATCTGAACTGCGTATTGGCGCATAAGTGCAAACAACAGTCAGAACCCGTCCCCAAAAAAGTCATAATTTATTATTATCTTGAGACTATTAATACCAGGAGGTGAAATGCAGCTCCAGACTAGCTTTGAATGCGATGATGTCATCAGTACTTTTCTGTTCCAGTTGACCCAGGTTTATTCTGCGTGCTCCCGTTCTCCCCGAGTCCAGACTTTGCTGGGTTCTACTCAAAATGGACTTGGAGAGACCACAAGTCCGTACTCACGTTCTAGTGAATTGAGAAACAGCCTATAGATGAACTCCAGGTGAGGAGAGGGCCCACTAACTTCACACCTCATTTCAATTCAATTCTATTCAGTTTATTTCTATAGCTCCAATTCACATCACGGCCACTCAAGGATTGATTCAAAGTTTTCTATCTAAGGAAAACCAGCTGATTGCATCGACTCATTGACTCTTCAGCAATCCCTCACACTAAGCATGCTTGTAGCGACAGTGGAGAGGAAAAACTCATCTGATTCGAGGATAATGATGCAGGTTCCTGCTGGCTCTCTGCGAGCTGAGGCTGAACATCAGAGTTCTCCAACTGATTATAAAGCAGAATTAATGGTCGGAACTCTGTCTCTCCTCCATCTTTCCCCTTGGATCCACCCCCTCCCCTCTCTGAACTCTTTTCCTCCAGGTGAAGGCCAGCTAGCTGCCGCTCACTATCGGGAAGCCATACGGCTGAAGCCCACGCATTACGTTGCTATGGTGAACCTGGGCCGCCTGCTACGATCAACCAATGAGAATGCAGAAGCTGAGGTTTGGTACAAGAGGTGATGAAATTATGATTCAATTTGGGCTCATCTGCTCTGAAGGGGGCTGGGCTATCACACCGCTAGCATTAGCTCTCAGTGACACGTGGGATTTTCTGACTCATTCTGAAATTGTCCTGTTATCCAATCAAATCGCAGCAAAGCGTGCAGAGAAAGGATTTAGAAAGCAGAGGCTCCACCTCTAAAGGAAAACCGGACCGCACCTAAAAACCCTGAGGCAGAGCTGGACCGCACCTGGTGCTGATCCGGTTTGCTTTGGATTACAGGAAATGTCTCTCTATTTGGCTCCTGTTGGTTCTGTTTATCTCCCGGTGGTTCTGTTTGGCTCCTGTTGGTTCCGGTTATCTCTCGGGGGTTCCATTTGGTTCCTGGTGGCTCCATTTTGCTCCTGTCAGTTCAGTTTGGCTCCTGTCGGTTCTGTATGGCTCCAGGTGGTTCCGTTTGGTTCCTGGTGGTTCTGTTTGGTTCCTGTGGTTCTGTTTGGCATCTTGTGGTTCCGTTTGGCTCCTGGTGGTTCCGTATGGTTCTGTTTGGTTCCTGGTGGTTCTGTTTGGCTCCAGGTGGCTCAGTTTGGTTTCTATGGTTCCGTTTGTCTCCAGGTGGTTCTGTTTTTTTTTTTCCAGGTGGCTCAGTTTGGTTTCTATGGTTCCGTTTGGTTCTTGGTGGTTCCGTTTGGCTCCTGCTGGCTCAGTTTGGCTCAAGATGGCTCCGTTTAGCTCCTGTCGGATCCGATTGGCTATTGTCGGTTCAGTTTGGCTTCAGGTGGCTCTGTTTGGCTCCAGGTGGCTCGGTTTAGCTCCAGGTGGTTCCGTTTGGCTCCTGTCGGTTCTTTTTGGCTCCAGGCGGCTCTAGGTTGTTTCGTTTGGCTTGAGGTGGTTCCATTTGGTTCCTGTGGTTCCGTTTGGCTCCTGTCGGTTCCGTATGGCTCCAGGTGGTTCCGGGTGGCTCCGTTTGGTTCCTGTGGATCTTGGTGGTTCTTTTGGCATCTCGTGGTTCCGTCGGGTTCTTGATGGTTCCGTTTGGTTCCTGGTGGTTCCGTTTGGCTCCTGGTGGTTCATTTTGGCTCCTGGTGGTTCCGTTTGGTTTCTGGTAGCTCCGTTTGGTTCCTGGTGGTTCCGGTCTGCTCCAGGTGGTTCTGTTCTGCCCCAGGCGGTTCCGTTTTGCTTCAGCTGGCTCCAGGTGGCTTCGTTTAGCTTCAGGTGGCTCCGTTTGGCTCCAGGTGGTTCTGTTTGGCTCCTGGTGGCTCTGTTTGGTTCCTGTGGTTCCGTGTGGCTCCAGGTGGTTCCGTTTGGCTCCTGTCGGTTCCGATTGGCTCTAGGTGGTTCCGTTTGGCTCCTGGTGGCTCCGTTTGGTTCCTGTGTTTCCTGGTGGTTCTTTTGGCATCTCGTGGTTCCGTTTGGTTCTTGATGGTTCCGTTTGGTTCCTGGTGGTTCCGTTTGGCTCCTGGTGGTTCCGTTTAGCTCCAGGTGGTTTCGTTTGGCTCCTGTCGGTTCCGTTTGGCTCCAGGTGGTTCTAGGTTGTTTCGTTTGGCTTGAGGTGGCTCCGTTTGACTTGAGGTGGCTCCATTTGGTTCCTGTGGCTCTGTTTGGCTCCAGGTGGTTTTGTTTGGCTCCTGTCGGTTCCGTTTGGCTCCAGGTGGTTCTAGGTTGTTTCGTTTGGCTTGAGGTGGCTCCGTTTGGCTTGAGGTGGCTCCATTTGGTTCCTGTGGCTCAGTTTGGCTCCAGGTGGTTCCGTTTGACTCCGGGTGGCTCCGTTTGGTTCCTGTGGATCCTGGTGGTTCTTTTGGCATCTTGTGGTTCCGTTTGGTTCTTGATGGTTCCGTTTGGTTCCTGGTGGTTCCGTTTGGCTCCTGATGGTTCCTTTTGGCTCCTGGTGGTTCCGTTTGGTTCCAGGTGGCTCCGTTTAGCTCCAGGTGGTTTCGTTTGGCTCCTGTCGGTTCCGTTTGGCTCCAGGTGGTTCTAGGTTGTTTCGTTTGGCTTGAGGTGGCTCCGTTTGGCTTGAGGTGGCTACATTGGTTCCTGTGGCTCAGTTTGGCTCCAGGTGGTTCCGTTTGGCTCCTGTGGTTCTGTTTGGCTCCTGTCGGTTCCAATTGGCTCCAGGTGGTTCCGTTTGACTCCGGGTGGCTCCGTTTGGTTCCTGTGGATCCTGGTGGTTCTTTTGGCATCTTGTGGTTCCGTTTGGTTCTTGATGGTTCCATTTGGTTCCTGGTGGTTCCGTTTGGCTTGTGGTGGTTCCTGGTAGACCTCTGACACTGCAATGTTGGCGCTGGACATGTTCTGCCTACAGGGCCTGTTTCCAGGTAGAAGGAGTTAAAGCTCCAACTGTGACCTCTGACCTTTGCAGAGCTCTGCAGGTGAGCAGGAAGGTGGATATCCTGACTCCTCTAGGAGCGCTCTACTACAACACGGGTCGTTATGAGGAGGCGCTGCAGGTGTACAGAGAGGCTGCTGCCCTGCAGCCGGACAGCGCCGACATCTGGCTGGCCTTGGTACTGACACACACTCACACACACCTCATCTGCTCTGCTCACCTCCCAGTGGCTCACAGCTCCTGTTTCTGCCCCAGGCTCAGGTCCTGGTCATGGCTGGGCAGAGTGAGGAGGCGGAGAAGATGACCCTGGACATCATCTCCAGAGACGCCGCCTGCATGGAATGTTACCGCCTGCTGTCCGCCGTCTACAGCAAGCAAGGAAACTTCTCCCAGGTGGGTCCATTACCATGGCAACAGATCAGCTTATGTTAGATGCTGCCGCTGGGTCCTCCTTCCAGCCGCTGGGTCCTTCTTCCAGATTTTGGTTCCTCCTTCCAGATGCTGGTTCCTCCTTCCAGATGCTGGTTCCTCCTTCTAGATGCTGGTTCCTCCTTCCAGCCGCTGATTCCTCCTTCCAGTTGCTGGTTCCTCCTTCTAGATGCTGGTTCCTCCTTCCAGCCGCTGATTCCTCCTTCCAGATGCTGGTTCCTCCTTCCAGATGCTGGGTCCTCCTTCCAGCCGCTGGGTCCTTCTTCCAGATTTTGGTTCCTCCTTCCAGATGCTGGTTCCTCCTTCTAGATGCTGGTTCCTCCTTCTAGATGCTGGGTCCTCCTTCCAGCTGCTGGTTCCTCCTTCCAGCCGCTGATTCCTCCTTCCAGATGCTGGTTCCTCCTTCCAGATGCTGGTTCCTCCTTCCAGATGCTGGTTCCTCCTTCCAGATGCTGGTTCCTCCTTCCAGATGCTGGTTCCTCCTTCCAGATGCTGATTCTCCTTCCAGCCCCTGGGTCCTCCTTCCAGCCGCTGGGTCCTCCTTCCAGATGCTGATTCTCCTTCCAGATGCTGATTCTCCTTCCAGCCCCTGGGTCCTCCTTCCAGATGCTGGTTCCTCCTTCCAGATGTAAATCCAGGCTCGCTGGATTTCCAGGGAGATTACCAGTAAATCCAGGAGGTGCTAACTGGACCTCTGCAGGTCTTCATGGTGCCAGGTGTCTATGTGACTCCTTCTCTGTGTTCTTCAGGCTCTGGAGGCTCTGGACCGGGCCCTGCAGCAGAACCCCAGTGATCCCACAGTGAAGGCAGAGCTGCATTTTTCTAAAGGAAACCAGCTGAGGGAGATGAACCAGCTGGATGAAGCCTTTGAGGTAAATTTCCTTCAGGGTTTATAGCTTCTTATGGTGGGTATCCATCCAGGGTTAGCTTAGCTTCAACCACTGATGAGTATGAAACGCAGCTGTCCCAGTGACCCTGCAGCAATCCAGGGGTCAGAATGCTTCTCTGGTTCTGGTCAACAACGCTGCAGCTGATCCTCCTTACTGAGCTCCCAGCTCCACCAGCTTCTCCTGCAGGAGAACTGAAGCTGATCTTCAGTGGAGCTTCCTGCTCCTGGAGCTCAGGCTCCGTCTGATCTAGGAGGCCATGCTGACTGAGGGCTGCTGAAGCTCATCTCTATCAGATTAGTGACGTTGGTGGACAGCATGATGATGATGATGATGATGATGTGATGATGGGGAGGATGATGGTGACAGTGAAGATGATGATGGTGATGATGATGATGGTGATGTGATGATGGTGATGTGATGATGGTGAAGATGATGATGGTGACAGTGAAGATGATGGTGATGATGATGGTGACGGTGAAGATGATGATGATGATGATGGTGACGGTGAAGATGATGATGGTGATGATGGTGATGTGATGATGGTGATGTGATGATGGTGATGGTGACGGTGAAGATGATGATGATGGTGATGATGATGGTGACGGTGAAGATCATGATGGTGATGATGATGATGCTGATGTGATGATGGTGATGTGCTGATGGGGAGGATGATGGTGATGGTGAAGATGATGATGATGATGGTGATGTGATGATGGTGAAGATGATGATGGGGAGGATGATGGTGATGGTGAAGATGATGGTGATGATGATGATGGTGATGTGATGATGGGGAGGATGATGGTGATGGTGAAGATGATGATGATGATGGTGATGTGATGATGGTGAAGATGTGATGGTGAAGATGATGATGATGATGATGGTGGTGATGTGATGATGGTGAAGATGATGATGGTGACAGTGAAGATGATGATGATGATGATGGTGACGGTGAAGATGATGATGGTGATGTGATGATGGTGAAGATGATGATGGGGAGGATGATGGTGATGGTGAAGATGATGATGATGGTGATGATGATGGTGACGGTGAAGATGATGATGATGGTGATGATGATGGTGACGGTGAAGATGATGATGGTGATGTGATGATGGTGATGATGATGGTGACGGTGAAGATGATGATGGTGATGATGGTGATGTGATGATGGTGATGTGATGATGATGATGGTGACGGTGAAGATGATGATGATGGTGATGATGATGGTGACGGTGAAGATGATGATGGTGATGATGATGATGCTGATGTGATGATGGTGATGTGCTGATGGGGAGGATGATGGTGATGGTGAAGATGATGATGATGATGATGGTGATGTGATGATGGGGAGGATGATGGTGATGGTGAAGATGATGATGATGATGGTGATGTGATGATGGTGAAGATGTGATGGTGAAGATGATGATGATGATGATGGTGGTGATGTGATGATGGTGAAGATGATGATGGTGACAGTGAAGATGATGATGATGATGATGGTGACGGTGAAGATGATGATGGTGATGTGATGATGGTGAAGATGATGATGGGGAGGATGATGGTGATGGTGAAGATGATGATGATGGTGATGATGATGGTGACGGTGAAGATGATGATGATGGTGATGATGATGGTGACGGTGAAGATGATGATGGTGATGTGATGATGGTGATGATGATGGTGACGGTGAAGATGATGATGGTGATGATGGTGATGTGATGATGGTGATGTGATGATGATGATGGTGACGGTGAAGATGATGATGATGGTGATGATGATGGTGACGGTGAAGATGATGATGGTGATGATGATGATGCTGATGTGATGATGGTGATGTGCTGATGGGGAGGATGATGGTGATGGTGAAGATGATGATGATGATGATGGTGATGTGATGATGGTGATGTGATGATGGTGAAGATGATGATGGGGAGGATGATGGTGATGGTGAAGATGATGGTGATGATGATGATGGTAATGTGATGATGGGGAGGATGATGGTGATGGTGAAGATGATGATGATGATGATGATGGTGGTGATGTGATGATGGTGAAGATGATGATGGTGACAGTGAAGATGATGATGATGGTGATGATGGTGACGGTGAAGATGATGATGGTGATGTGATGATGGTGAAGATGATGATGGGGAGGATGATGGTGATGGTGAAGATGATGATGATGGTGGTGATGTGATGATGGTGAAGATGATGATGGTGACAGTGAAGATGATGGTGATGATGATGGTGACAGTGAAGATGATGATGATGGTGATGATGGTGACGGTGAAGATGATGATGGTGATGTGATGATGGTGAAGATGATGATGGGGAGGATGATGGTGATGGTGAAGATGATGATGATGGTGGTGATGTGATGATGGTGAAGATGATGATGGTGACAGTGAAGATGATGGTGATGGTGATGGTGAAGATGATGATGGTGATGTGATGATGGTGAAGATGATGATGGGGAGGATGATGGTGATGGTGAAGATGATGATGATGGTGGTGATGTGATGATGGTGAAGATGATGATGGTGACAGTGAAGATGATGGGGATGATGATGGTGACGGTGAAGATGATGATGATGATGGTGACGGTGAAGATGATGATGATGGTGATGATGATGGTGACGGTGAAGATGATGATGGTGATGTGATGATGGTGATGTGATGATGGTGATGTGATGATGGGGAGGGTGATGGTGAAGATGATGATGATGGTGATGTGATGATGGTGAAGATGTGATGGTGAAGATGATGATGATGGTGGTGATGTGATGATGGTGAAGATGATGATGGTGACAGTGAAGATGATGATGATGGTGACGGTGAAGATGATGATGGTGATGTGATGATGGTGAAGATGATGATGGGGAGGATGATGGTGACAGTGAAGATGATGATGATGGTGATGATGATGGTGATGATGATGGTGACGGTGAAGATGGTGATGATGGTGAAGATGATGATGATGATGGTGACGGTAAAGATGATGATGGTGATGATGAAGATGAGGAAGATGATGATGGTGATGATGATGATGGTGAAGATGGTGATGATGATGATGTCACTGTTTGTGTGTTTGCTGCCAGAGTTACAGGTTGGTTGTGGAGCTGAAAGCAGACCAGTCTCAGGCCTGGATGAACATGGGGGGGATTCAGCACATCAAGGTAACTTCAGCTCCAACTCATCTTATTCTTTATTATTGTTGCTATAGAAACGCTGAGATCAGCTGCATGTTTTCAGGGACAGATGCTGCTCTGTCCTTAGCTAAGGCTTATAACTCTGCAGAACGCTGCTGTTTAGTCTATGGTGTTAATAATGTGGAATCCTGAGTGGATTTTTCCTTTAAAGTTCTCATCCTTCATGTTTTCATGCAGGGAAACTATGCAGCTGCCAGGATGTATTATCAACGAGCTCTGCGTCTGAATCCCGGCTCCGGACTTCTGAAGGAAAACCTGGCAAAGCTGGACCGGCTGGAGAAGAGGCTGACAGGGGGAGCGTAGCCTGCAGCCATCTGCCCAGAGGTCAGAGGACGTTTGAAGCAGGAAAGATGGCGAGCAGAGGAGCTCTGGAAGCTCTGGAGCTGCATCAGCTATGGCCTCTGCTTTCAAAAAGACGCTGAAGCTCCTGTGGAGTCAGAAGGACCTACTGAAACGGTTGATGCAGTCAGTGAAGCTCGGAGCAGGAAGGCAGCAGCTGTGCGGCTGCGGTTTCTCCTCTTCCTCACCGCTGATGACGCTAAGGAGCGTCTCCTCTTCAGTGCAGTGATGGTAGAGTTGGAAGATGACGGTTCGTCCAGCTGCTGTTCACGCTGAAGGCTCTCCTGCATGGAAGCCAGGATCTGCTGTGGAGCCCTGGGACCTTCAGGTGGATGATGTGGAGAAATGGATCCTTTGGAAACAAACAAGCTTCCAGCCTCAGGTCCCAGATCATCTGCAGCTTTCATGATCAAAGGGATCAGATGAGTTTCCTGTTTCGAACCTCTGGATGCTTCCTGCTGTCGCCGATTTGAGCTGTGATTGAAAATGTTGTGATTATGAAGGAAATGACCGAAGCAGCGACTTTGCTGCTCCACCAAAATAAAGTCTATCTTTTATTAAATGATGTGTCTTCCTCTGCAGCGACTCCTTCCAAAGCACAGCGGACAGTTTTCCTCCTGATTGGAGACTTTTTTCATCCCACATATTAGCAGGTTCCTCACTACTGATGCAGCTAACGGCTACAGCTAATGCAGTCAGAACACAGAGGTTACTCTCAACACAAAGAGCAAGTGAACAGATTTCTGAACTCTAACCTGGAGACATTTCCAGCTCAGAAATAAAAGTAAACAAATTTCATCAAAATTAAAATAGGAAACGGGGACGGCGATGCTTTCATCTATTTTTAAATATTTAATAATAAACAACAAATATCAGGCGTTAAATCCAGGAATGTTTCTCTCCTTTTTCCTCAGATTAATAAAATGAATCATTCAATGGTGTTTATTAGTGCCATCTGGTCATTCTGTCTTCTTCCCTCCATCTGCTTTTCTTTCTAGCTGACTCCTGCCTGCTCTCCGTTTTACTCTAAGTAGATTTTTCTTCCTTCTCTTTAACTGATCTTTCCATCAGTGTTTCTGTTTTCCTCCGCTCTCATTCTATCTGCTTTCTATCAGTCTTCTAACCTTCTTCCTCTCCTCTTCTATCAATCTAACACTGATCTTAAACAGACATAAAACAATCAGAATCCCTTCCAAACACACACAGAATCTCATCATACATATTTTGATTATTATGATGATGGTTTATTCATTATTCATATTATCAGTCAGAATCAATCGATCTGATTAAGGGTTCAGGTATTCAGCTCTTTTGGCTTCTTTTCACTGATGCTTCTGTGAAACGTGGAAGTAGTGCCACCTTTACTGGAGTTGACCTTTTCATGAATGCTCTGACCTCTGCTCAGAGCGCTGATTGAGAAGAACAGGAAGTAAAGACATGAAGTTCGCTCAGACGAGGGGCTCAGGGAGGAAAGAGCAGGGCTGAGTGAGTGAGGATGAAATAAAAATCAACCAATCTGCTGCTTCTCCTGATTAAATATATTTTATCGACTAAGTGACCAGTGATGACATGTTTAGCCGCATGTTGCCATTCAACCGCTGGTTCAATTTAATTCAGTTTATTTCTATTGCACCAATTCACAGCATAAGTCATCTCAAGGCACTTTACAGTTAAACCAGATCATACAGTCAAATTGATTTAAAGTTTTCTATCTAAGAGAAACCAGTTGATTGCATCGACTCATTGACTCTTCAGCAATCCCTCACACTAAGCATGCTTGTAGCGACAGTGGAGAGGAAAAACTCCCTTTTAACAGGAAGAAACCTCCAGCAGAACCAGGCTCAGTGTGAGCGGCCATCTGCTGAGACCGACTGGGGTTCAAGGAGATAGAAAAAGACATAGAAAAAGGAGCATAGATACAAAAGGCAACTGTCAACCAGCTCCACAGGCGGCCCCGTCCAGGAAACACACAGCCAGGCAGACGAGCTCCGAGCCAGCTCCCATGTCAGAGGATGAAGAGAGCACATCCAGCCAGTCACGGTCAGAGAAACAGGACTACACTGGAAAACAGGCCTATCTCCAACATCTAGAAACAAAGGTGTTGATGGCAGCAGCACAGCTGATATTTCTCTCCAGGATGGAGTCACAGCCAAACAGGAACAGACCAGATGAAACTACTATGAGAAAAAGCAGAGAGAGCAGAACGTTAGCGATTGAACTAACAGATTCTGTAGAGTGGGAGAATAAAGACAGAATGAAGCAGAAGGATGAAATAGGGGTCCCTATGTCCTCCAGCAGTCTAAGCCTATAGCAGCATAACTATAGAGATAGCTCAGGATAACCTGAGCCACTCTAACTATAAGCTTTATCAAAAAGGAAAGTTTTAAGCCTAGCCTTAAAAGTAGACAGGGTGTCTGCCTCACAGACTAAAACTGGTAGCTGGTTCCACAGGAGAGGAGCCTGATAACTAAAAGATCTGCCTCCCATTCTACTTTTAGAAAATCTAGGAACCACTAGTAAACCTGCAGATTGAGAGCGAAGTGCTCTGTTAGGAACATAAGGAACAATCAGTTCTATTTCATCCCTACTGACCGCCAGAGGCGGTGCTTCAAGCACTGAATGATCATTCTTGCGCATACGGAGGTCGAGTATTAATGACAACAAAGTCAGCTGTGACCTGCCGGGGACCCACGTGACTCTATATAGTCACGTGGCACCCGGCAATCAATCCCTTTTGTTCTTCTCGCGCGCAGCTGTGTTGAGTACCGGAGTGTGGTCGTGTGAAGCTGGTTGCTTCTGTGTATACCACTAGTTTCCTGGCTGCTTGTTGCTGGTAGCCCCGTGACCGGGTTTGGTCGGAGCTGCGGGTAAGTCTCGCCCTCCAGGGGCTGCACAAGCTGCTTTCACCTTACCAGATCTGCGGTGACTGGTAAGTTTTCGTTCTTTTCTCAGCAGTAGTTTACTGTTCGCTTTGATTTGCCACGTTAATTTTGTGGCTCTTTTGACTCACGGTAGCGTTTCTGCTCGCGCTGAGTTGTTTTCAGTTTGTTTGCCTAAGCCCACCAGTAGCGTTTCTGCTCGCGTTGGGTTCTTCTATAGTTTGTTTATCTACACTCACCAGTGGCGTTTCTGCTCGCGCTGAGTTGTTTTCAGTTTGTTTGCCTAAGCCCACCAGTAGCGTTTCTGCCCGCGTTGGGTTCTTCTATAGTTTGTTTATCTACACTCACCAGTGGCGTTTCTGCTCGCGCTGAGTTGTTTTCAGTTTGTTTGCCTAAGCCCACCAGTAGCGTTTCTGCTCGCGTTGGGTTCTTCTATAGTTTGTTTGCCTAAACTCACCAGTGGCGTCTCTGCTCGTGCTGAGTTCATCTTTAGTTAATAATCGATTTGCTAGTGGCGTTTCTGCTCACGCTGAGTTTGGAATCTCTGCGGGGGTTTTCCTACAACGAGTCGCCAGTAGCGTTTCCTGCTCGTGTTGACTTGTCCTTGGTAGCAGGCTGATCACGCCTTTCAGCAGTATGATGCTGGATAATTTATGTTGCTCGACCTGTCTGGCTCCACTTCAGCCGGATGACGGGCATGACTTGTGTCCCTCCTGCCTCGGTGTGGAACATCTCCGGGAGGCGCTGTCAGATGACGCTTGCCCCAACTGTCGCGTCATGCCCCGGTCGGTCAGACTGGATCGGTTGGCTGCACTGGAGCAGCCTACCGACTGGGCGAGCGCTTCGCCGCGTGCTCGTTTGCCGATGGAGAAAGCGGTGTGCAAACGATCTACTGTGGCTGCACCTTCGGTACCGACGAAGCGTGCTAGACGGACCGATGCAGGGAGGTTGTCCACCAGAGTGGATCATCTCACTACTGAGCTGGCCCAAATGAAAGCCCTCCTCCAGTCCTTTCAGACTGCTGGTGATCGCGGCACGGCTCTCCCTACCGAGCAGGATGAAACGTCAGTCAATGACGACGATGCTGTTTCTGTGGCGGCCTCTGGCACCCATTTCTGTGAGGACCTTCCGGAGCTGGGCTCCGGGGCCTCTGGGTCGGACTCCATTGCCTCCCAGGAGGATACGGGGGAGTCTGTGACATCCGCTATTCGAACGGCTCTTGCCCGTTTACAGATTAGTGTTCCTCAGGCCCAGCCTGCGGCTTCCAGCGCCTTCTTTAGGCACAGTAGGTCAGAGACTGCCTTTGTGGTTCCTCCCTCGGCGGAGTATGTGCGGGAACTGCATGCTTGCTGGTCAGACACCAAGGCGTTTTCACGTCTGACGACGGATGGCAGGGTCCTGGCAGCTATGCAGGAGGCACCCAAGGTTGGCTTGGGGCAGATGCCAGCGGTGGAACCGGGCATTGCCTCTCTTATAATCCCGCCTGATGAGGCCTTGCGGCCCAATGCCCGTTGTCCGCGTCCTCAGTGCCGTATTACCGACGACCTTCTCTGTAAGGCCTATGACTCTGGGGCCCGCATGGGCCGGATTGGGAACTCTCTCTCCCATCTTATGCTGGCCCTGTCTTCCTCCTTGGAATCTGTTCCGCTGGATCATGCCACGCAAGGCCTGGTTGATGCATCTCTGCAGGCCTTTGCTCTTATGACGAGGGAACTTGGACGCACACTCTCCACACTGGTTCATGCTCGCCGCCAGGTCTGGTTGGCGCAGTCACCACTAACTGAGCCTTGTAGGAGGACCCTCCGGGCCCTGCCTGTGGTCCCGGGGGAGCTTTTTGGTTCAGCGGCACTGGACGCCTTGGACCGTACGGCTCAGGCCTCTAGAACGAGGCAACAGCTGGCAGGGCTTCACAGACGTGATCGCCAGCCAGTAAGCACCTGGGCAGCTGCGGGTCCTTCACGGAGGTCCTTAGTGCCTTCTCCTTCTCCCACTGAGCCCCAGGGTCTGTTACCAGGTCAGAGATCGGTCCGGGGACCTGCTCTAGATCGGAGGAACAGAGCTCGAGACCAGGCTGGGACGAGGTCCTTTCATCCCTTTCGAGC